GTAGTAAATTGCTTTTGAAGTTCTTCCATCAAAGCTGCACCATGATGTCTCTTCCAACCTGAAGCCTGTAAATTCTTCCCTGCTTTTGCAATTTCCTTCTGGCTGTAGCTTCACAGGTCCTCCTCCCCCTTTCCCCCCACATAGCAATTCCTTCCGCAGGGTGAAGATCAGGTCAAATGATCAGAGGTTTCTACAGGAAACTCATTCCCTTCCAGGTATGCTTACTCCTCCTTTGAAAAGCAAACACTACAACACAGAGAACAATCAGGCTTTACTATATACAGCATTCAACATACTTTGGCATCTCTCTGATAAAACTTGTCTCAAAGGATTTTCACACTACCCCCTTTCCAACAGCTTGGGAAAGAGGGGGTCATAACCACTCTTTGAAAATGTTTACTTTCTACCTACTTGCATATTTTTGGGTGTCAGTGCAAGTTCAAAGATTACTGCAAAAGAAATAAAGAGGAAAATGAAGGAAGAGAGGCATAAAGGGGGAAAGAATGTGGAGAAAAGCTTGATTATGCAGACTGCATGTTAGGCAGATTACAAATACTTATCAAAACAATTGTAATAACAATTGTAATATGTTAAAAATCCATTTTTTGTTGAGACCTTCTGAAATTGCCTAAAGCCTTTATGTGAGTTTCCTTCCCTGGCCTTATTTTATTTTATTTTATTTATTTATTAAATTTTTATACCGCCCTTCTCCCGAAGGAAGAATTATATTAAAACAACATATATCCACAAAATTTAAGAACAGTTTAAAATATATTAAAAATTTGGCCCTAATATTAAAAACTACAAACACCCAATAAAATTCATTTTCTAAGCCAGCCCGGCCTGTTGAAACAAAAGAGTCTTAAGGGCACGGCGAAAGGTACGTAGGTCGGGGATCATGCGAATCTCCAGGGGCAGTTCATTCCAGAGGGCAGGTGCCCCCACAGAGAAGGCTCTCCCTTGGGTGTTGCCAGTCGACATTGTTTGGCCGACGGCACCCTGAGGAGTCCCTCTCTGTGGGAGCGTATTGGCCGGCGGGAGGCTATCAATGGCAGAAGGCGATCTCGTACATACCCAGGTCCTAAGCCATGGAGCGCTTTAATCGCACCTGGAAGAGCCAATGCAGCTCGCACAGGAGAGGTGTTACATGGGTACGCCGAGTTGCCCCCATAATCACCCACGTGGCCACATTCTGGACCAGTTGGAGCCTCCGAGTGCTCTTCAAGGGGAGCCCCATGTAGAGAGCGTTACAGTAGTCCAGACGTGATGTGACGTGACGAGGGCATGAGTGACCGTGCGCAAGGCATCTCGGTCCAGAAAGGGACGCAATTGGTGGATCAGGCGAACCTGAAAAAAAGCTCCCCTGGCCACAGCCATCATATGATCTTCTAAAGATAGCTGTGCATCCAGGAGAACACCCAAGTTGCGAACCCTCTCTGTGGGGGCCAAGATCTCGCCCCCAATAGTCAGCGAAGGAGCCAGCTGGCTATACCGGGATGCCGGAAACCACAGCCACTTGGTCTTGGAAGGATCGAGTCTGAGCTTGTTTCTCCCCATCCAGATCCGCACGGCCTCCAGGCACCGGGACATCACGTCAAGGGCATCATTGGGTTGGTCCGGGTGGAGATGTACAGCTGAGTATCATCAGCGTACTGATGGAACTTCACCCCAAAACCACAGATGATCTCACCCAGCGGCTTCACATAAATGTTGAACAGAAGGGGCGAGAGGACCGACCCTTGCGGCACCTCACAAACAAGGCGCCTCGAGGTCAACCTCTGTCCCCCTGCCAACACAAACTGCGTACGGTCAGAGAGGAAGGAGGAGAACCATCGCAGCACGGTGCCCCCCACTCCCAACCCCTCCAATCGGCGCAGCATGATACCATGGTCGATGGTATCAAAAGCCGCTAAGAGGTCTAATAGGACCAGGACAGAGGAACAGCCCCTGTCCCGAGCCCTCCAGAGATCATCAACCAATGCAACCAATGCCGTTTCCGTGCTGTACACCGGCCTGAAGCCCGACTGGAACGGATCCAGATAGACAGCTTCATCCAAGTACTGGGGAAGTTGTCGCGCCACCACACTCTCAACAACCTTTGCAACAAAGCGAAGGTTGGAGACTGGATGATAGTTCGCTAATACAGTCGGGTCCAGAGAAGGCTTCTTGAGGAGGGGCCTCACCACCGCCTCTTTCAGGGAGGGAGGGAAGAAACCCTCACTCAAAGAAGCGTTAATAATCCCCTGGAGCCAGCCTCGTGTGACCGCCCGGGAGGCCAGCACCAACCAGGAGGGACACGGGTCCAATAAACATGTGGCAGCGCTAGGCCGACCCAGAATCCTGTCCATGTCCTCGGGAGTCACAAGGTCAAACCCCTCCCAGATAACACTCTCAAGACCCACCTCCGTCACCCCATCTGAATCTACCCAGTTGGAGTCCAGGCCTTCCCAAATCTGAGTGACTTTGTCATGCAGGAATTGCACAAAATTCTCAGCCCTACCTTGCAAGGGGTTTTCCCTCGCTCCCAAATGAAGGAGGGAGCGGGTCACCCTAAACAGGGCTGCTGGGCGGTTCTCTGCAGACGCAATAAGAGCGGAAAAATAATTAAACTTTGCAGCTCTTATTGCCACTAGATAGATCTTAATATGAGACCTCACCAGTGTTCAGTCAGATTCGGAAAACCAAGGAGCCAATTGAGATCAGCACTGGGTCAGAGGCCACAAAGGCACGACACGGTCCAAAGCTCCAGCGGCCGCCCTATCTCAGGCGGCCACCAGTTCTTCAGTCAAGTCGTGAGCCAGAGCCTCAGGGAATGGCCCAAGCACCGTCAGGAACCTATCCGGATCCATCAGGCGCCTGGGACGGAACCACCTGGTTGGTTCCGTCTCCCTGCAGCGGAGGGTAGTGGCTCAAAAGTCTAGTCGAAGGAGTGAATGATCTGACCATGACAAGGGCTTGATGTCTATATCCCCTATTTCTAGATCATTCAGCCACTGACCAGACAAAAATCAGATCCAGGGTGTATCCCCCCGTGTGAGTGAGGCCTTGAATTAATTGGGTCAGGTCCATGGCCGTCATGGAGACCATGAACTCCCGAGCTGCCTCTGACGTTTCACCAACAGATGGCAGGTTGAAATCCCCCATGACCATAAGTTTGGGGGTATCCACCGCCACCCCAGCTACTACTTTGAGCAGCTCAGGCAGGGCCGCCGCTATGTGGCAGGGAGCCAGGTACGCAATCAGCAAGCCCATCTGCACCCCACGACCCCACTTCACAAGGAGGGACTCACATCCGGCTATCTGAGGTACAGTGGCCTCCCTTGGACAGAGACTTTCCTTAATAATAGCCGCCACCCCCCCGCCCCTACCCTGAGCCCTCGGCTGATTTAGCTTTTCATCAATTTAAATCCTGTATCAGTCTTCTAGTTCAGTGGCCCCCAATCTTTTGGGCACCAGGGACCAGTTCCATGGAGAGAGGTTTTTCCGCAGACCGCAGGGGGCGTGGTTTCATATGCTGCCTGCATCCCATGGATGGAGCTTCACTTGTTTGCTTGGTCCAGTTTCTGGCATGCCATGGACTGGTGCCGGTCCATGGACCGGGGGTTGGGAATCCCTGTTCTAGCCAGTCTATGCATCTGTTGCAGTGATCTGCAGCTCACAAAAATGTATGCTTTTTAATAACAATGTTAGAAGATGTACCACCAGACTCCTGATTATTCTGAAAAGAGAATGCTTGAAGATAGATTCTAAAGAAAATGTTCAGCTTGAATGCTGGATAGGTCTTCCACAACTCTTTTTTCCTTTTTTTTTTTCCTGGATAGTCTCAGTTTTGCAGAATATGAAGAAAAACCAGCATTTTGGGCTACAGCTTGAGGATATTTTGCCCAATCAAGGAAAAGGTCTACCTCTAATGTCTTAGATTGAGCCAACAAATTAGAAACTTATCTAATAGCTGAACACATCCTCCTAAAACATTTTACTTGTGTGATAAAAATGCAACTACGTTTTACCAATTATGCCATTATATAAAATGAAGTACCGTATAAGCTACTTGAAAAATCAGGTATGGATTTTGTCTATTTGATTTTCTAGCAGGTCATTTTATATCAAAACATAGTTTTGCTATATCAAAAATGGAGTTTTGTCAAAAGATCACGATATGGATAAATAGAAGAAAATATATATTTTATTTCTCTAAAAAGATGTTGGAAATGCTTGAATGCTCACTTCATACCAAATAGATTGATTACAGAAGAAAAATAAAGTAACATGTATACAGTTAAGAGTAATCTGGGTCCCCTAGAATACTGTAAAGAAACTAAGCCAACTCAACAACCTTTCTCTTAAATTGCAAATTTAGCTATATATTTGTGTAAAAACATGGTTTGAGTTCTTGAGCTGCATCTAAAGAATGTAAATGAACATTTTTATAAACCTATTCTTATGTGAACCTATCTCCACCACAGGATCTTAGTTTGCATACATTTTGCTTTTAGCACAAGGTTGTACTATCTTTACAGCAAAGGCGCACATAAACTTAGTCTCACTAATGTATAAAATATTACCCTAATATATGGGATATTGGGATTCGCCAATATTCGCTGCGCAGCAATTAAGACAGGACCAAGGCAACTCCCACTGCAAGCAATCTTCATTAGAAGGTATCATAAGCAAGTTGATGAGTAAAATTATCAACAAGAACTTCGCTTCTCATTGTAATGCAATCATAATATTGGAATCTATTTATCAGCATTTATAAGCTAGCGGTTAAGTGTGCAACAAAGAGCGAACATTCGAATCTGGCAAGTTCTATGCAATTAATTCTTTTTGCCGGCTAAATCCTTACCTTGCCTAAAGGATTTCCTTTCCTCGGCTTAAGGTACCGGGCTTCACCTTCCCTAACCAAAATCCTTAACCTAGTCCTACTCTGCCTATAAGTGTTATACGTACCTCATGCATTAGATAAATTAGCGATACTGTGTAATACAAGAATTGGAATGGCTTCACCAGCTGAATTCCTGCCTCACAGCGGTCTAGTACAGCGAACGGAAAAAGCCTCGCCAAAACAAACCTAGCAAGCGCAGCTAGACCTATCACCAGGCTAGTCCTTCTCTATAGCCACCTTCAGCGCAAAGGCTGCTGGGGAAAAGTACGGGGCAGAGCAGGCCGCGCGCTAATTGACTGCTAGGCCGCGTGCTCCCCTTCGCCATGGATGCGGTGCTGGCCGACGCGCTGCTCTCCCAGTGCCCCGGTTGGGGTGCGTGGCTGCGGGCGGTGTGCGGCGAAGAGGGTGCGCTCACCCTCGAGCGAGCGGAGGCGCTGCGTTTCCTTTTGGAACGGGCGACACGTGTCGGGCCGCGCAACCGGGGCGAAGAGGCGCAACGGGCGGCCCGGGAGCTGGCGCTGCACCGCTGCCTCCCGGCGCTTCTCAACGGGAGCGGCGTGCCGGCGGGTGAAAGCCCAGAGGGGTGGCGACGATTCGTGACAGCCGCCGGTGGAGCGCTGCGTTCCTGCGTTTTGGTCTGCGGACCCCGCCTGGCTGAGCGGTTGGCCGGCGAAGTGCTGGAAACCTGCGCCGGGTTTCAGGCTTCGCAAATGGAAGGCAGCGTCGAGGTCCTGTGCGCGGCGGCGCCTTGGCTGGAGGATCCCGCGCTGCTCAGGCGAACCGTGGCGGTCGCCCTGAAGCTGCTGCGTGGGGAGGGAGAAGACGAGCGGGAGGAAGAGAAAGCGTTGCTGGTGGGCGGCAGGTTGTTGCCGGCGTTAGGAAGAAACGGCGCCGCCCTGAGTCTCATCTGGGAAGGCCTGGTGCTGTTGCCCCTCGCCGACGCCCCGCGGGTGAACCGGACTCTGCTCGTCCTGAGCGCCCTCTCCGACGTCCTGTTTCCCCGACTGGACGGTGTCACGGATGGCGAGGCAGCTTCGCTGCTGGATGCGAGGCTTTCTTGCAACTTTTGGGAAGTGGTGCAAAAGGGACTGTCCGAGAGCGATGCTCTGTGCCGGAAAAGAGCCCGGTATTTGTTGAAGAAAGCCGTCGATGCATCGGACAAAGTGGCCTTGGAGTGCAGGTGTAGCCTGGACCATGGCAATGGTATCTATTGGCTCTGAAATGGCATATGCTAAACCCAAAGCCCGCTCTTGCAAACATTAATTGTGAGAAAAGGAACGTTTGTGCTGGCTTTCCAGCCCAAAGCCAGCTGGACAGGTTTTGGAATGGCATAGTAAATTTCTTTAAATCTGGAGTACCCTATTATTTAAATCTTGCAGGTGTCAGAGGGTACTTAACATTAGGTGACCATAAATGAGAAATAAATGATGATCAAACCATTCCTCCACAGTCATTCTACTTTGAAATGAATTCCAGAAGCAGTTTGGTCAATTTTGCTAAATTTGGATAATTTTACAATTGGCCAAATACTATGGTCGGGATCATTAGGAAAAGAAACTGAAAAGATTGCATGACCGAAAATTGTAATGGCCTTATACAGATCCGTGGCAGATATGTATCTGGAACATACACAATTCTGTTCACATTTGGGGGAGGTGGGGAAGTATAATCATTCTGGAAACATTGCAGAAGATAGCAGTCAAAATGTTTTCCCTGTGTGAAAAGGATAGTATTTGAAACTCCTTACATAGTCTGGGAAAAAGTCTTAGGTGGGATATTAGTTGAGATGCGTAAAATCCTGGATAAAGAGGTCCAAATTGCTGAAACTATTTTTTAATCAAATATTGCTTTGGATAATAATAAAATCAATAGTAGGTATGTTAATAGAATGGATTCAGTCAAAGATGGAGGATATCAGTAAATGTAGTTGGGAAAACAATGGCAATATGCCTCTATGGATTTTCTAAATTTTCTCAGATAAGGGCAAAAAGGATTTATAATATAGATTGTTTAAGAGAACAATTATTCTTTCCTGTCAGAGATCATGTCACAAGACAATGTGCAGAAATAGATTAATAGCTTTTTTAAAGGTTCCCATGATAAAAGAAGATGGATAGAACTACAAGGAGAGTGAGGACTACAGTATTGGTTCATTCAATTGCTAGTGAAGTTAATACTTCATTAAGAATGAACTTGAGTTTGCATTAAAAACAATGAATAGAAATGCTAGCCTAAGCTTCAAATAGAATGAAGTAAGCTGAAAATTGGTTAAGAACAAAAGAAAATTATAGTAGTACATCTTTTCATTGTCATAGCCCTGTCAAACTACAATACATTGATCTAGGAGAACCTGCTTCATACTTGTTCCTGTGGGATGCAACTTAGTTGGGAAATATGTAAGAGTAGTCTATGTAATAGATGCTGATAAAAAAGAATTATCTAGTGAATAACAAATGAGGTGCAAGAAAGCCTCCAATCTGCATAATGTGTGGCTATTTTATTGGGTTGAGATAGTAATAGTGTTTGAGAAGTCTATAATACTGGCAAAGGGGGGAAGGGAAGGAGGATGGACTCAATTGCAGTGGCAATAGGTATACCATTGGGAAACCTAAAGGGCCATGTTGGGAACAGATTGTCCTGGATAAAATCTATCTATTTGATTGTAAAAGTTTACAATAAATTGATGGCATATAATCAATGCAGGATTGCAGGACAGCGAGAGAGAAATTGAATGCCGTTCTTTCCACATATATAATTCTTTACTGGCCAAGTGTGATTGGACACAAGGAATTTGTCTTCAGTGCATAAGCTCTCAGTGTATATAAAAGCTATATGTGATAAATTTTATATATATATTTAAATTTTTAATACTGGTAAATTTTTTATAAAATTTTTATCATTTATCATTTTATGATAAATCATTGAGAATTCCAAAGAGAGAAAGAATTATGCTCTTACTGCATTATTTCTGGTTGCCGACTTGGACAATTTCGGGTTCGGTTCGGTTCCGGTTTCCTCATCTTCGGCGGCGGCGGTGCCTTTTGAAGCTCCGCCAGCCCCGCCGCTTGTAGAGCCGCTTCGCGACTAAGAAGCGGCTCGAAAACTTCAAAAATCTCTAGGATTTTTGAAGAGAGATCGCAGGGCACAGGTTGAGCCCCTGCAACCCCCCCAGGAAATAGTTTCTGGGGAGGGAACAGGAGCGGCTCCCATTCAACCTGCTGGAACTCCGGGCGGCGTGGGACAAGTCTGCTTTTGCAGAACAAGCCGGCTACAGGAAACTTTAAACTGAAAGAAAAGGAACCAGCCTTAATAAGAAGTACACAAGTCTTGAAGACCTCTGATCTAGGATTATTTGAAGGGATCAGAGGTTGCATTATTATTTTGTGTTATTGACATTAATTTAGGCATAAGATTATTTCTATATCTTTGCTTAAAAGACTAAAACATCTTATTTACTTATAGGATCTTGTTTGTTTTGGTGGTGTGCTGAAAAAAAAGATCAGTTTACTCAGTTTTGGGAAAATTATATTTTAATAATGGAGACTTTGGAAGGAAATCAGGTAAATATACTTAATAAAAAGGATTGGTTTTGTTATAAACAAAATTTATTTACAGTATTTATTAAATTTATACTAAATTATGTGAGGGTATGATATAGTTGTAAAATACAAGAAGTAGGTGAAGGCAGGAATTGAGATGTCAGAAATATTATATTGGTAAATGGATACATTAACATGTATAGAAGTTATTGCTTTACCTTCAGAGAACATGGATAGAATTTGAAAACAGGGAATGATTCAAACTTAGTAATTATATTTTTTTCTTAAAATTTGTTGAAAGGACTTAAAATGTAAAGTACATAAAGGAAATCCTATGGATGAATTACATAGAATATTTACGCTAAGATTTTAATGACCCCCATCACTTACTGTTATGCAGGTATTCAAAGACTGATAACTGGCTCTTAACTATGGTTTTTATTTATAAAGCATGTTAATATAGTAATTTCTGTTTTCCAATTTCAGATACATGTAATAAAGCCAGTTTTACCAAAGTTGAATAGCTTGTATGAACTTGCAATATCAGAAGAAAAGGGTAAGATTTTTTTGGTAAAATAAGTCCTGTTAATGTTGTTTAGTATCAGCAAGTAAGTTTTTGAATTTATTTTCAGTTCTGCAAAATTTACTAGTGCTTGATTATTCAGGACCTTTAGAAATATTTTTAGCCTTTGTAGTTGGTAACAAACATATAAAAATGCAAGCCCTTATAAGAAATCATTCAGTCTTGACGTTAGTTCATCTTGCTTTTCCCCTGTCACAGATTACATTGTTGGTTGAGTGAAATATAAAATCATCATTTTAATTAATTTGATATATATATCTCACCTTTCTATCCACAAGGCAATCATTCTGTGTATTTATAGAATATACAAAACATTTGGTTCACAGTTAAGTGATCTGGCCCTCAGAGCCATGCTTTGTTTTGAGATGGAAAAAGAAGACTCATGCTTGTTTTTTCTTTTGCTTGTCCATTCTGCAAAATAGTGTTACTGCTTATGAGCACCTCCTTAAAGAAACTTAAGGATAGGATTTGGTATTGGTTTACCAAAACACTGTGGACCTAGACGCGTTAGAGTTTTGGGGCAGGAATAGTCTCAAGGGCTGCTCAGAGATTTGCTGCTTGGATTTTCTGTTTCCTAACTTAGCATTTTTGCCAGTTGACCTAGTCTGATTGCAAGTAGACCTTTGACCATATCAGTACTTTCATCTTATCCACTAACCCTAACCCAGGAGTGTCAAACTTAATTTCATTGAGGGCTGCATCAGGGTTGTGTTTAACCTCGGGACCAGGGAGGGTGTGGCCAGTTTGACGTCACTTGTGTTGGGGGCGCCTGTGGTGGCCCGAGCGCTCTGCCAGCGAAAACGGGCTCCCTATCTCCGTTTTCAGCTGCGATGGCTTCCTGCAACACTCTGCCAGTGAAAATGGAGCTCGGGAGGGCTGCCCATGGCCCTCCTGAGCGCCATTTTCACTGACAGAGGCATTGCGGGTCAGTCCTTTGCTGTTTCCAGAGCAGCCCTGCGGGCTAGATCTAAGTACCCTGCGGGCCGGATTTGGCCCCCAGGCCTTGAGTTTGACACCCCAGCCCTAGCCCATTCTCTATTCCTATGTTGATATTGGAGGTCCCTGTTTCACCATCATGGTACCAGCTGTTACCCAAACAGAATATTAGTTTAAGAATGTGCCTTGCTGCACATCTGAAGCCAACTTTCAACTAAACAATCTTTGACCATTTTGCAACTAACAATTTAATGCAACTTGTGATATCTGCCAATTATCACTGAGGTGAGATTGACAGACAGACAGTCCTCAGTACTCCTATACCGGTAAAGTAATGATTAGATGATCAGATGATGTTATATGTCATTTTTATTTCTTTAGTGAAATCCTGCAGAATAAAAATGTTTAGGTTGTCCAATGCCAGCCCCAAGATTTCCTCAGCTACCCTAGGAAAATGACTGTTAGCTAGGGAAGTTGGAGCTCTAGCCTGTCTCCTCTAGTGTGACTTTTGAACTCTACATTCAATTATATTGCATCCAGAAGTTTTACTTAGTAATAACTGCTACATTACATTGATAGATATTAATCTCTCCATTACTTTCTAGACCCAGTTAAAGACATTCATCTTTTATCTTTAAAGTTTTGATTAGTTTAAGTTCTGACTATCTAAGTAATTGGTTGTCTTGTGTAAACCACTACAGTATTAAGGATGAGACAAGAGATCCTTTTCAAGTGATCCACATTTGCAACATTGTTTTTCTTTGTAGATTATTTTCATTGTGATGTTTCTTATAATTTCTAAAATTATATAAAATAATCAGCTCTTACAAATTAAATTATTTGTACGGACAGGCAATCAAGTGAAATAGCTTATGCAAAATGTACATATTTGTTTTTAATAACAGGTTGTTGGATGTTCCATCCTTCATGGCATATGTGCATTTACAAAAGAATGTTTGAGAGTGAAAATAAGACATTGGCAAAAGAAAGTGTCATTCACTTTCTTGAAATCTGGCAAAGAAAGTGTCTTCCCTCATCACAAGGATTTTCAGAGGTAAGGTTTACTGCGTGTCCAAAGAAGATACTTTTTATTAATCCTCTAAAGCCGGGACCGCCAACCCCCAAGCTGCATCCGGTAGTGGGCCATGGATTGTTTGGAACAGGGCATACAAGTGACGGGTGAGCGCGTGCATGCAGCGCCACTTGCACGAGCAGTAGGCAAGCATGTGTGCGTGAAGCTCCATTTGTGTGAGTAGGGTGCGCCTGCGTACCCACTGCTTGCACAAATGAAGCTGTCCATGCATGCTCGCCCACCACTCATGTGGAACCTTCCCCTCTCTCCCCCTCCACTGCCACCACTCCACAGCTGGAAAGGTTGGGGACTATTGCTCTAAAGAAGGCCTAGCTATCTGTTGCCACCATCCCCTTGGGACAAAATGTTTTTATATAACTGCTTCATAATTCCTTTACTTATTTTTCAGAAGTTGAAGCTAGTGTTCTTGTATAATCTTACCTGAAGATTTTACCGTATTTTTTGTACTATAAGACACACTTCCCCCCCCCTTCAAAAAAGTGGGTGGAAATGTCTGTGCATCTTATAGAACAAATATTGCAGGGCGGCGGGGTGGAGGCCACCTGTCACCGCTGCTGCTGTTCGCCACTGCTGGGGAATGCTGGAGCCTTTGCTGCCGAGCAGCTGATTGGCCATTGGATCGGCCTCCCGGAATACCACCAATCAGCTGTTGTAGGTGGTGAGGATTGCCATTGCTACCACCATCACTGCCAATCACTGCTGCTGCCAATTGACGCCGATTGCCGAATGGCGACGGTGATTGGTGGCGGCAGTGAACCGCGCAGCGGCTCTGATCAGCGGTGATAGGTGGCGGTGGTAATAGGCAGCGACGATCCCCGCTTCCAACTGCCAATCAACTGCTCGGCAGCAAAGGCTCCAACGTTCCCTGGCGGCGGGAGCAGCTCAACTCAGTTGACTGGTAGTGGGCGGAACCCTGACGAGCCACGTGCTGGGGCTGCAATAACATGCTGAAGCTGACCAGGCTGTTCGCTGTTTGCTGCAAGGACGCTAGCCAGATGAATACTGGATGGATGCTGGGAGTTAGAGGCAGATTTTTTTTTTCTTGTTTTCCTCCTCTAAAGCTAATGTGCATCTTATGGTCCAGGGCATCCTATAGTGTGAAAAATATGGTAATTGTTCCCTGATTAACTGTACTATGCCTATATCTAAAAAGATATTTACTGCAGAACAAATAAACTGCAACTAATGTCTGTTTTATTTCTTTTAATGAAAATCTAATTTCTTTTGTTTAGTTCATTATTGGCCCTTTAATGGATGCTCTCTCAGAAAGTTCTCTTTATAGCAGGTAAATACATTGTTTAATGAAAAACTCAGTACGAGAAGATAAGTTTTTTTTTGTTTCAGCTTTTATTGCACTTTGGGGAAGAACTGCATATTTGTATCTATCTTTAATAGCAGTTGAACTATAGTCAGAATAGGGAGGAGAAAAAACAACAACCTCATTAATATTAGATGCACCTATATTTAACACAGTGAGAAAAGATGTAAAAGAAAATAGCTCACTTGGATGCCACTATTGCTAGTGAATTCATTTGACAGTGCAGAAGTAGCCACATTTATCTTTTCTAAGAGGTTAAGGGTCATAGTGGATGCAATTGATGTAAAATGGTTAGACTTATATCATGCAGGTTGAAGGGGGCTGGAATTCTTTTCTCTCCCTCTCCCTCTCCCTCTCCCTCTCCCTCTCTTACACACATACATTTTGAGGGCCCTCTTTTTAAAACAATGCTATCCTCATTTTAAGATATAGGCTTCAGTTTTCATGTACTTTCCTTCTCAACATATTTAATAATCAGAAGGGGGTCCAAGGCAGTCAAAAACAAGTGAATCAGGAAATGAATTTGTTTATTCAGAAAATGGTTGTCTGTTCTTTGAGGATAGCTTGCGTTTGGAATGTCATCTGATTTAAATTGTATTTTTTTTTTTCAGTCAAGAGAGATATCCAGGTATCATTGGGTGCAAAGAGGTTGTGAAAACTGGTGTTACTGCTTGATATTACCCCAATAGCCTCCTGTACATCCTCTCTTATGGGTGGGGTATCTTCCTGATTTAGCTAGATGTGATATGAGACAAAGAAGAGGACTCTTCTCTTTCCCATAGGCAGCTCCCATAGGCAGAACTCTTCCATAGGCAACTTTAATGAATGGGAATTCTGCTCAGGCAAAATGTCTAATTTTGAGAAACTTTTGTCCTGCAGAACTCTCTGAGCTACAGTTTGCCCCATTCCTGCAAGGGAGATGAGTCTTTTTTTTTAAAGTTTGAGAATCTACTAGGGCCGTGATGGCGAACCTATGGCACGTGTGCCACAGGTGGCACGCGAAGCCATATCTGTGAACACGCAAGCGTTGCCCTAGCTCAGCTCCAACACGCATGTGCGCACCAGCCAGCTGATTTTTGGGCCCTCTGGGTCCACCAGAAGTCGGGAAACGGGCCGTTTCCAGCCTCTGGAAGGCCGTGGGAGGTGAGGAAGGCTGTTTTCACCCTCCCCAGGCTCCAGGAAAGCCTCTGGAGCCTTGGGAGAGCGAAAAATGGGCCTACCAGGCCCACCAGTAACCTTTTTGCCATCGCGTGCCAAAAGCGGGGGGGGGAGTGCAGGGAGGGTCACGCACGCATGCATGGGGTGGCTGGGCGTGGAGGGCATTGAATTATGGGTGTGGGCACACACGTGTGCAATCCTCCTGCATTCCCCTCACTTTTGGCATGCGATGGCAAAAAGATTAGCCATCACTGTACTACGGAAAGCAGGATGCACAGAAATCAGCTTTACACTCTCTTAACTCACAATCAGATCAAATGAATACTGTGGGAACTCTTCTAATATTTTAGTTATTTATCATCATGAAACGTATCTCTGTTTAAGGCTTTGATAATCTGCAAATTTATTCAATAACCCAATAAAACATAATAAAATTAAATTGTAGCCTTAGCACTGAATTTCTTTAAATTATCTCTTTGCTTTAACTTAACAGGGTATCAGGTCAGATTATGGGCACTTGTCCACCATTAGGAATAATTCTGCAGAATTTCATGGCGACTTTCTTCACAAGCCTTCCAGAAAGTGAAAAAAGTATGTGTAGTTAATGGCATTATTTTGGAATAGCATAAATGTCAGTTCTCTGCTTCAGGATAATTTATTATTACTAGCGGCTTTTATTTTTATTTTTGTTACAAAGGCAGATACGAATTTGATGATGATGATGATGATGACATGGGGATTGGTGCATGGTTTGTCTAGCGATATCACTAGGTCTCTGGGGCAGGCACAGACCCATAATGCAGAAGATTTTATTGGCATGTACCAAAAATGGCATTAGAGAGGCAGTGACCTTTTGAAAGAGAAAAATTAACCCCAAATCACATGCTGAATTTCATGAATGTGGTTACTGTGTTAAATTGTTTCTTCTTTCCATAATAATGGGGCTCAGAATCGGGGGATGATAGGGAACGTGCACATGTGATACTGTGTCTCCCTGAAAATAAGACCCTCTCATATTTTTTTTAACCTGAAATAAGAGTTTGGCCTTATTGCCATGTGTTCAAAATCCCAATTGGGCTTATTAAGGGATGTCTTATTTTGGGGGAAACACTCATAAAGTTGGAACAAGTAAAACAGCATACTGTTGTCTAGCCTTGTCCTATCTTATTTTACAACCTTCTCTTTCTCAGTTATCCTGTATATTTATACCCGAGGTCAAAATAGGATTAGAAGAGATTCTATAGATCTGGGGATTACAATCTAAATTGTGATTGAGAAAATATATTTATTCCTATTTACTATTGAAATTAGTTTTATTTTTATTATACTTCATTAAATATATAAATTGGAGAGAAAAATAGGAAGGGACATATTGCAAAGGATAAAGGGAAAAAATAAAAAAATAGCTTCCTATTTTATTTAATACAGTTACAAATAAAAAATACATTAACCTTTTGATCTGATATTGCGGTATTACATAGTACTTCTATAATCATATTCTAATTATCAAATACCAAAATTAATGTAGCATTTCTTTTGATCTCAAGCAAAAAGTTCAAAAGTAGCTTCCATATAAAACCAAAGCTAGACAACACTCTATCTTCAATATGATAATAATGCTATTTTCTTTCTCTTTAAAGGGAGCTTTTTGTTAAAATTTATTCAGAAGATGAGCAATAGGCACTGGTGCGCTATTCCTGTTTTGTTTCTCTCCATGGCATTGGCACATATACCACAGTGTAGAGCACTGGATAGCAAAGGGCTCCTTGCATTAAGGTGATGTTCTGAATTTTGTTTCTGTGAATTTTCTGTATCCTCAATTCATTGTTTGACTTTTCAAAACATGTATTTGATCCATTTACAGAAAAGTTCTGCAGTGTACTATGATCACACATCAGATTCTTCTACGAGGAGCTGCTCAGTGCTTTCTTCTTAAAGCAGCTATACACTTAATAGATACAGTAAGTATTATATTTTTAAACAAATGTTTGCTTTAATGTACTGAAGGAAAAAATAAAGCAGAAAGAGTCAAAAGCATGTTATATTGTAATATGCATAACAATAGTTTTTAAACGGTATTAAATTTCATTTCATTTTATTTTTTTCATTTTATTTAATTTGTATACCGCCCTACTCCCAAAGGATTCAGGGCGGTGAAGAGGCACAGAATAAAACACGTAAAATACAAAAATTAAGAACAGAAGTAAAATCGAATTAAATCAATTTAGCCCAAGACAAATTTAAAACCCTAGGTTAAGAACAAATTAAAATTTACATTAAAATTTACATTAAAAAGAATGGGAAAGGTTAGGCCAGACCAGCCTGGTGAAATAAAAAGATTTTAAGAGCGTGGCGGAAGGTGCGTAGATCCGGGATCCTCCGTATCTCCGGGGGGAGCTCGTTCCAGATAGTAGGTGCCCCCACAGAGAAGGCTCTCCCCCTGGGGGCCGCCAGCCGACATTGTTTGGCCGATGGCACCCGGAGGAGTCCCTCTCTGTGAGAGCGTACCGGCCGGTGGGAGGCTGTTTGCGGCAGCAGGCGGTCCCGTAAATAACCAGGCCCTAAGCCATGGAGCGCTCTAAAGATGGTAACCAAAACCTTGAAGCGCACCCAGAAGACCACCGGGAGCCAGTGCAGCTCGCGCAGGAGAGGTGTTACATGGGAGCACCACGTCGCTCCCATAACCACCCGCGCGGCCGCACTCTGCGCCAGTTGGAGCCTCCGGGTGTTCCTCAAGGGGAGCCCCACGTAGAGAGCATTGCAGTAGTCCAGGCAGGAAGTGACGAGGGCATGAGTGACCGTGTTTAAAGGGTCCTGATCCAGAAAGGGACGCAACTGGCGCAAATGTTGGCTATATAGAATAACAACATCATTTTTTGTAGTAAGTATTCCAATCCTGATAGGGTTTTTTTGTATTTTAGGAAAGGCAATTTGTCACATACACTTAATTGTTTTCTAGTGTTTTCATGGATAAAACCTTTTCCTTTAAAAATGCAAGAGTCCCAACTTGTTAGATTTCTTGTTGAAAATCCAAACTGAAATATTTATCCTATTTAAATTATCTTCCCAGCCACCATTTTTTTAAGAAAACGGATAAGTTGGCTTTCATATATGTATTTTATCTTGCATTAAAAACAACAACTGCATGGCTACATTATTATGTCTAAGGCAGGAGTCCCTGACCCCTGGGCCGTGGCCCACTACCGGGTTGTAGACTATTTGGAACCAGGCTGTGGGAGTGATGGGCTGGTGCATGCATGTGCGCACAGCTAAGTGGGCGTTCAACTTGCACAAGTTGAGCTGTGTGCATACACATGCACACTGGCCTGCCGCTTGCACAAGTTGAGCTGTGCATGCGCATGCATCTCCTGCTCATGTGGTTTGGTTCCCCACTCTCCCCTGCCCCCCAGGCAGGCCACCAAGCTGCGGTCGCTGGTCTAAGGTATGCTATTGCAAGTTACGAAGAAATGGTACACTTCAATTTGTTCTTCCTGATATAAAATATGTCAGGAATTAAGCTGGCCTTATTAAGCCAAATTTATGTACACCATAAATGTATCAGGATTGTTATAACCTGGGGTCAAGAAAGCTAATCTGATTGCTGTTTTATTTGTATTTGTTGTTTTTTAAAAATAATTGCAATTTGCTATTCTATGTGACCATGCAACGAAGAATTGTGCTCCAAAATATATTAGCAGTTTGCATGTTGAAATTTAATGTTCATAATAGAAAGTTATTATGTATTTCCACTTTTGTGTATTTCCACTGTGTAGATAAAGTTAGTTCTTGAACAATTTTGTCTGAAATACATGCATCAAATATAGTTCTAATATTCAAATACATTCTTGGGTTACACTTCATTTCATATAAATACAAGAAATAGCAAATGGACAAGTGAAGCAAAACACTTTTTTCAGCAACAAAAGGACAACTTTTTAAGAGCGACAAAAAGTTGGTTTTGTAACAGAGGCACTTAATAAACATTTAATTTAAAATGTTAAAATTTAAAACATTAATTTAAAAAGAATGATAAGATATTATGATAATATAATTTTATATTGAGTTTTGGAGCAAAATGTTGTACTAAAATCTTCTGTCTCTTCTTTATAAGATGCCACAAAAATTATTTAAAATTTAAGTTGGATTGCCTTTTTAAAAAGATAAGATTAATTTAATTGATTAAAAGCTCATCACTAAATAACCCTTTGGTAAAACACTGTGTTGTCAAACATGGTTAGAATTGGTATTTCTTCAAAAAAAAATAAGGCAATGGCAAAAAATGAAAAAAGGCAATGCCTCATACTGAAAAGAAGGGAGACGTACAATATGGAAATATTCTATCTGTTACAGTAACACTTAACTCAATATTTACTTTCCAGTATTATAATAAATCCTGATTACATTTCTTTAGGAAAAAGTATCACTCTCAGATATTTCAAACTTCATTACCTATCTGAAACCAGAGGAGTCATTAGGAAGAAGAACTGCTTTGTGGAGAATGGTGAGAAAAATGAAATCTGTTATGTAACCGAGCAATAACTATTTCCTTTGCTGATTGCTAATCTCATGATGAAGGATTATATGATATCAGCACTCTGATCAGAAGCCTATATGCATAGCATATTTCCCCCCATGTTCGCCCATTTGTCTGGGAGTTGTACCTATGATGCTAGGTTTATAATGTCAAATTGCAATCTTACAGTAGTTGAATTCAGGTTGAATCAGCATTCCTGCCCATGCTAACTGTCTTGTCTATGATTTAATATTATTCTGCCCTCCCACTGAAGTATACTATATAGCAGGGGTGAAATGCTCCCAGTTTGGACCGGATCACCCAATCCGGTAGCGATGGCGGCGGGTGGTTCGGAGAACCGGTAGCAAAAATCCCTGCCCCCCCCACCATGCCCAGCTGGGCCGCACGATCATCAGAGGCTCTTTTTTTAACTTTTAGAAGCATTTTTTCTACAACCTCTTCCGATGAAAAAATGCTTTTAAAAGTAAAAAAAAAAAAGTCTCTGATGATCGCGCAGCTCAGCTGGGATCATCAGAGGCTTTTCAAAGCATTTTTTTCTGCAACCTCTTGGCCAAAGACGTGGTAAAAAAAATGCTTTGAAAAGTCTCTGACGATCCCAACTGAGTTCCCTGATCAGCAGAGAGGCATTTTTTAAAGAGCCTCTCTGACGATCCCAGCTGAGTTCCTGATCGGCAGAGAAACTTTTCAAAGCATTAGAAAAAATGCTTTGAAAAGTTTTTTTTTAAAAGTTGGCCACGCCCACCCAGTCACATTACCCCCTCCACCAAGCCACGCCCACAGAACCAGTAGTAACAGATTTTACATTTCACCCCTGCTATAAAGTATACTACTATATAGTTGCATTTACTGGGTTATAGAAACATAATACAAGAGATAAAAATGATGTTTAATTTTTGTTTTATTCAGCTTTGTGATTGGTTGCACGTAAATGACAAGTATTTTCAAAAGACTTTAAACTGCGAAGTCCCACAAGATAAAACAGCATTAAGTGTTTATGTGCAGCTTCTTGTGGAGGACTATCTTAAAATACCTCTTACCAATTGTAAGTATCATGTAAATAATAATGTTAAAGTAGGGACACATTTATAAAATAGTTGATTCCTAATGTAGAATGCATTCACCATTGGGCTTATTACAAATTTTCAAGAAAGATGATTTTATATAAGAGAAAAAGAAACGTACATATTTACCACTACTTGCTTAATAAGTAATTAGAATACTCAAAAGTGGAACTAATTTCTCATTGGGCAGTCATGGTCAGTTGCTCACCTTGAAAAAAAATCATTAAATTTGAATATTAAATTTTATGTTTGCAAAATTAAAATAGAAGTTTCTTGAAGCTTCTACATACAACAGCCTTTATTTTGAGCCAGACTGATAATTTTTGTTGTGAAATTGTAAACTTTAAAATATACTTGTACCTGCATGCCTGTCTAACATTTCATAATCATAATCATAAGTTTATTTGTCAAGCATATATAAGATAACAGGTAAAAGTATAAACCTAATTTGAATACATGAAAAGAGTAAGTAAAAAGGAATATTAGGATAGGGATGGTAGGCACGTAGGTGCACTTATGCACACCCCTTACAGATCTCTTAGGAATGGGATGAGGTCAACAGTAGGCAGTTTAAGGTTAAAGTTTTGGGGGTTTGGGGAAGAAACTACAGAGTCAGGTAGTGCATTCCAGGCATTGACCATTCTGTTACTGAAGTAATATTTTCTGCAATCGAGTTTGGAACGGTTTACCTTGACTTTGTATCTATTATTTGCTCGTGTATTGTTGTGGTTGAAGTTGAAGTAGTCATTGACAGGAAGGACATTGTGGACATTCGAAAGGTTTTTTTTCCCCCATAACAGCAGAAGATTGTCTTCCAGACTGGTTTGATGCTAAATGGGTGGCTACAATGATTCTTCTAGCTGCAGATGTGGAAGAGATAAGGCACACATATAAGTAAGTATAAGATTATTCCATTAGATGCAAAATAGGTTAACAAGGACCAATCTCGTCAGAACTCAGGGAGGCTTTCTAAATTACTAATATTCGGGTTTTTTGGAAATATTTAAGGATTTGTCCTCTCCTTCTGATAATTTATTGTAACATATTCTTAAAATAATGGTCTGATTTAAATATTCAGTCTGTCTCTTCTTTCCATTCTCTTTCTACAAATGATGCCCCTGACTCAGAATTGAAACATGCATAACTAATGTCTTCTGGTGTTAACACCTCTCAAGATAATAAAATATAGGCTGCGGTGATTTTTCCTACTTGTTGCTGTTTGGAAGAAATAGGTGTGACTTCAGTGCAGAACAGCTTTTTCTGTTTTAGAAAAAGGTGCTTTACTTTCCAGAACTCAGTATAAGACTGCCATTCCCTTTTTATTGTTTATTTTGTTTAGTGACAACAGCAGCACCGAACGGATTGGCCTGAAGACTCTCTTAAATCCTCTGCTGGATGTGTTGCTGAAACTTGGCACTAATCCCTACATCTCATCACTGAAAATTGATAAAAGCCTACAACTGCTATTGAAGATAATGCAGACTTGTTCAATCAAAACTTCTAGACCAGAAGTTGGTTAGTGGTACCTTCAGTATGTTAACTTTATTATTCTTGACCGTCTAATTAGAATAACAACATAAAGTTTATGAAAATTACTTTACCCTATTTGAATAGATAGGCTGACTGAACAGTTTGATCAAATTACTTGGATTCCATCATCAAATCTTTGCCGTTAGTAATAAAGATGAGGTCACACAATCATTTTTGTAGTGATCTGACCAGCCATTTCAAAGACATTCTAGCACCATAAGGCGTGAATTGGGGTCTGAGGCTTAATATGCAAAACTTTTTGAATCTACAATTTTCTATTCCTACAGGAAGGCAAACCTTTGATGCCCAAATTTATGATATTCCAAAATATTAGATCATTTATTGAACCTCATTTATTCATCTCTTTCAGGTTCAGCCTCTCTCATCTAAGTACTATATTTTTCGGACTATAAGAGCCACAGGACTATAAGACGCACCTTGATTTAGAGGAAGAAAACAAGAAAAAAAATAGTTTTTGGCCTCTGCCGGTCTCGTTTTTGCCCTCCCTGACCCCCAGAAGTACTTTGCGGGTCAAATAGAGGCCCATTTTTGGCCTCCCGAACCCTCCACATGTCCCATTTTTGCTAAAAGCACACCTGTTTTTGGCCTGCAGAGTGCTTCTGGGGGCCAGGGAGAGTGACAACACGACACACGGAGGGTTCTGGAGCCCAAAAACGGGCCCGTATTCGGTCTATAAGACGCACCTAAATTTTCACCCACTTAAGGTGGGGAAGTGCATCTTATACTCCAAAAAATACGGTAACTCCTTATTTTCACCCATCAAGACAGACCAATTTTCTCTTTACTTTCTCTCTTCTTTGCTGTTTTTTTTTAAAGACTCATTCATTCATTCATTCTTTGTACATCTCATCTTCAGACTTTTCCCTCTCATTCTTCTGGGGTTTTGCCATTACCATTCTATCCTATCTTGTCATGTCTATGGAGATTCTCAGTCATCTAGAGCTCAAAGGTGCTTTTTCAAAAGAAGGATGAGAGGGAAGAGTCTGAGCACACTTCCCAGATAAGCATTCCATAAAGCTGTTTTGGCCACTCTGAATTATCACAACTGTTAAAATAAGTAAGAATAAAAAGATGCTCTACATATATATTTTATTTAATAATTTAAAAATACCTAGTTGGGGGTCTAAAGTTCTGGTATCATTTTTCTTCTAATGGTGGAGAAGTATTATTCCTAGCTCTATTCTTTGTAGAGGGAGGACAGATCAGAAGGTTCAAAGAGGGAAAGGACAAAGGAATTCTACTTTCTAGTTTTTATTTATTATAAAAATGTCAGAAAAAAAATAACTTTCATTTTAGTTTTTGCTTACCTATTTGTATGTTTTAGCTGTTTCAGTGGTAAAATGATCTAAATCCAATTGGTATATAGTTTTGAAGCAAAAATGTACTCTAAATGTTTTAATGTAATGATTCTTTATATAGATGCAATAATAGTATTTCTCCAGAAGTCAATTATGCTCGCCACCGAAAGTATTTTGGATTTTCTCCTCAGAAGACTTACTGCAAATGAACTAAATATTGTAAGTATTTAGTGCAGAAACCAGTCTGGCAAACACCTGTAGTAAGTTGTATTCTGAAATGAACTTATTTGGAATATTTAAAAAGTCCCCAATCATTTATAGCAGGTAGCAGTTTTAAAATCTTTCTTATCTGTAAAATAATTATAAAAGTATTACACATCCAAATATAATTAAGGTATATTGATTTATGTATTTCATAATCAGCCCTGGCTGATTAGCTATTGTGTGGAAATGTTATGTAATAATATCTCCAGATGTTAATATAAAGAAATTGTTGGTTATATAGGCTGCTCAAATATATTTCTTGCTTGCACATCTGTGCATATATCATGAAAAATGAGTGCTCTGCTTGTGTCTCATTGCAATTTAGAAAATCCAGTAAAATACAGAGAGACTTTTCTGTGCCAAAAAGTGGTAGTTGTTATACAAAGTAGCAGTGTTTTGGAAATGGAAAGGCATTACAATATTACAAGACTGCAGCTGCCAATCAGTTAGAGAGCTTAAAGAAAAATCTTGTTCAGCATACATAATTTACTTGTTTACACAATTGTATCACAATTGTATATTGTGTCTTCTGTGCAGATTTTTGCATTTTTTTTTTATTATTGCAAAGATAAGTAATATACTTTTTTCATTTTAGATGTCACATCTGGAACACTGTAATTTATATCTACAAGTGTTGTCAGAACTAATGAATTTCTATTCAGCCAGTGGATGGAGAAAAGGACCATTTCTCTGCACTTTTGTCTCATCTTTAATAAATACTTCTCTCTACAATCTGCAGGAGATACATGATGACGAGGTATTGTTGAGCTTACAATGGCCTATAGTTAAGAATGAACCAAAGCTTGCATCTATTGTATTTTCCCTGTTGATGCTGGGGGAGATGCTACCATAGCTGCATTATTTATTACCGGTAGTTTAGTATCTGCCCCAATGTCAGATAATAAACCCTACACAAAATTTGCTAACTAGAAAAAAGTTTGCTTCAACTTAGTAGGCTCACCTCTCCCCCCCCACCCCATGCCTCCCATCCCTGCATACAGAGCCCGTATATTAACTCTTAGAAAACCCCAGCAACGGCTGTTCTTCAATAAGACTGTCGGAATCAGCTAGTTGCTGTACTTAGTATACATGGTGAATATATTGTCAAAATAAGCACAGGTATTTTCTCAGGCTGAAGCTTTATAAAAATGTTAAACTCAATTAAATACTCTGTTAAACAATTGCAGATCAATATTGGGTCAGAAGCATTAAAATAGTGAAAATAATACTGTACCATAAATTAAGCAATTCTCCTGTGTTTTCACTTACTGCATGGGAGATGCGGTGCTCATCTCTGTTTCTAAGCCAAAGAGCTAGCGCTGTCCGAAGACATCTCCGTGGTCATGTGGCCAGTATGACTCGATGCCAAAGGCACACGGAGCGCTGTTACCTTTCCACCAAAGTGATCCCTATTTTTTCTACTTGCATTTTTTTCGTGCTTTCAAACTGCTAGATTGGCAGAAGCTGGGACAAGTAATGGGAGCTCAATCCCATTACGCAGCACTAGGGATTAGAACCGCTGAACTGCCGACCTGATCGACAAGCTCAGCGTCTTAGCCACTGAGCCACTGCGTCCCCAAGGAAATGTTACCTCTGTTCAAATTAGTACATTTGTTACTATGTTCAAATTAGGACATATTCCCTATGTTCAAATTAGGACATACTTTACAGTTTTTTAAAAACAACAACACAACCAGACTATTGTATTTCCACCTTTTAGGACATAAAACTTGAAGAACAGATTCAGAAGGTAGTAAGTTTGGCAGCATTAAGGGTTGTTTGTGAAATTATGGATCAGAAGCCAGACCTTCAACTTCAGTTTCTACCAGCTGTTGACTCCCTTAAAACGGCTATTTTCAGCACCCAACTTAACCATGTATTAAAGAAGCCTAACAACATGGAACAAAATAGGTACATATATTGCTCAAAAATTTTTTTCTACTGAAATATTTTACTATTACATTAGTAATACTCTACCTTTTAATGTCTACCTTAAAAATCAAAATATTTTATAGATGTTTTTATGACTTTCTAATTATTGGTGTCTAGCTATTCTTCCTTTTAGGGCTTAATTAAAACCTGAGAAAACTTATGTAAATGTATTTTCTTCTAAATATAGGTTTGGCAGGTTGCGCTAATACAGAAATTGCCATTTCTGTTTCTTTTACTTTTAATATATCTTGTTATTATTTATTTATTTATTTATTTATTTATTTTATAAATAAATAATATTTATATAATTATTTAATTTATATAATAATACATAATAATTTATATATTACTAAAATTTACATTATAATCTGATTTTTCTTTTTACAGTTCAGTTGAAGAAACAGCATCTCATGAAGGATGGGGGAAAATTGTAGCACGTTACATACATGATCAGTGGGTTTGTCTTCATTTTGTTCTCAACAATTATCAAAATCTTTCCAAGGACAAACATTTAGAACATTTTTATGATGTTCAGGACTACAAAAGAATGTTACAGTCTGCGCTAGAAGCAATAATGGTTCTTCCTTCTGACCATGTTTTACCAGTTTTTCACTGCATGAAAATATTTGTTTCCAAGGTAAATCCTACAAAACAATGCGGGATTTTATTATGTATTTTAAATTTGGTCTTGTCTTGAACTAAATGTAATTTCTGTTTGCCTTTAGCTTATGGAATCTTCTGAATCTCTATGCATAGAAGCTTTTGAAATGTCATGGAAAATAATATTTTCTCTTAGCAACACACAACTGATATTTTGGCCTAATTTAAAAGCTTTTATTCAACTTGTGTTTGATCCTGAAATTCTTGTTACCGCAGCCAAGTTCAAGAGTGAAGCATACCTAAAGATAAAAGAGGTGAAATATTTAAAACTGCTGTTGTGTCTTGTATATTTTTAATTACTGAATTCAGATGAACCTATATAGACTAAAATTGAAACATGGAAGCACCTTTTTGCTTCTTTTTTCCTGAGCTTTAGGAAGCCTCTGATTCACCAGGTAATAGGTACCAGTTTCATATCAAGCCAAGATACTGAACAACAGATGTTCAGTATCTCACCCCCTCATCCCCATATTTCACAGACATTGAATGTAACAATATACATTTATTTAATCATATAATTTTAAACAAGGCATTTTTAATGCAAGTAAGCACTGAAACAATAAAATCCAAACTAAAAATATCCAGATATTCCAACAGCAGAAAATAGCTAAAAATGGTTAATTCCAAACTGCAAGAATTTATAGAGAGCTCACTTTCATTTGGAATATAAAAAGTGTCGTAAGAATTGATTATTTATTAATTGTTTATGCTGCCCATAAAAAAGTGAAAAGTGACTCTGGGCAGCTGAATCAAGCTTCTTGATTAAAAATTAGTTCTGCAGTGAGGCTACAACTACAGAAAAGTTATGAATTTATTCCAGTTATGCTGCTCTAGGTACAGGTAGTCCTTAACTTATAGCCACAATTGAGACTGGAATCTTGATTGCTGGTTGTTAAGTGAGATGCCCATATGACTGCTTCACTCAATGACTGCAGTCACAACTTTCCTGGTTGCAGTCAATAAGCAATCTCCTGGGTTATTAAGTAGAAAGAGCCAAAAAGCTGCCTGCTGAAGATTTCAGCTCTACGGGAGGAGCTGCAAGAACAGAGCTGAAGTCTTTAAAATGAAAAAATTCCCGTCTCCCTCCAACCTTCTCTGCTTGCAACTTTCCTTGCTGGCTTCTCAATTGATTTTCTGGGGAAGCCAACAGAGAAGATTGCAGATTGTATCACATGATTGTGGGGTGCTTGCAACCAGTTGTAAATGCAAGTCAGTGACCAAGCACCCAAAATGCAATGAAGGAGGGGTGGGGGAGGGGGAGGCAGCTTGATGTTTTATGGTCCCTGGAAGTGCTTTATGGGATGTAAAGCACTCTCTGAGGCCATTGTAACTTTGAACTGTCAGTAAACAATCAGTTGTAAGTTGAGGACTAACTATATCCTACTTCAACTAGTATAATACTTCCCTGAAATCTCCATTTAAAGTTGCATCAAGTTTACATAAAATATATATCCCTGGGCTGAATTTGACCTTAGGAAACATTTTTAAATGTTGAAAACACTTGTACATATCGAATTCTTTACTTTGAAATAACTCCTATATTCCTTCTTCAGTTTGTGTTTTATATTCTTTAGTGAAAAGGTACTAATCCAAGTTTGGCTAGTTAATGAAAGTTTACAGTTAATGATTTATGCTGAGAATATTTATATTTCCTCTCTTGAAAGAGAGAATTCGTCCATGATAGCTAGAGAAGTTACTTATTGAAATTGTCAAAAAATTAAGAGTGTAGGAAGAAAATATAACTCAAATGGTATCAAGTAAAATTTAATTTCTTAACTTAATCTGCTATAATAGAACTCAGTTATTATATAACCATGAAAAGAAAGCTTCCTTATTTTAAGAAGGTCTTAAAATAATGCTTTTTGGGAAATCATTCAATGTCAGCCAAGCAGATTTCCATTCAAATAATTGAACTTCTCTTCCACCTTTTAATTCAACTTTTACAGATGTGCACTAGACAAGGGATCCCTAACCCCTGGGCCGCAGCCCACTACACTACCGGGCCATGACCTATTCGTAACCGGGCTGCGCGAGTGGCAGGCTGGCTCACATGCACGCCTGCGCAGCTCAACTTGTGCCAGAAGTGGGCTGGCATATGTACACACATGCATGCAACTCAACTTGCACAAGTTGAGTTGCACACATGCGCATATCCTCTGCCCGCTGCTCATGCGACCCTGTTCCCCTCCCCCCCCCTCCACCGGGCTGCCTAGCCACAAAGGTTGGGAACTGCTGCACTAGAGGTTACCCAACACCAGGGAACTAGTTTAGAGGAGGTCTGGATAACTACAAGAGGGAAGGAGAATCCTCCTGTTTGACGATTTCATATCTACATGAAATACAATTTATGTGTTTTATTTTGTTCTACAGTCAATTACGTTTTCCTCCCTTCTCTCAGATTATATTTCAAATGATTGAACTTTCATCTACAAAGACTGGAATCTTTAATGTTCTAGTAAGCCATTGCTGTCAATCTTGGCTGTTTCCTCCTGGTGAAATAACTACCGTGGAAAATGCCTTTTCAAATGCTGGCAACTACATTGAACTCCTTATTGAGGCTTGTTTGTTTGGAACTATTTTCAGGCGTGATCAAAGGTAAAAACCAGAGCAAAATAAAAACCACACTATGCATGCTTGTTTCTCACTGTCTTTATGCTGTCACACACTCAGCAAACTCCTGCCATTCTCGGGAATAAAATATCCTAACACGTTGTATTTGTTTTGCTGTGAAGTTATGATGATTGATAGCATAATCAATAATAAATTATTAAGTTAACACTATTTTAATTTCCCTTTTGTGTTTATTTTTAAATGTAAATTAATTTCAAGACTCGTTCAGGAGGTGTACGCTTTTGTTGAAAATCTTGGAGATAAATGTGCAGCAAATGTTGTTACAGAAAGGTCAGTATCAACTTGTTTTATAATAGTTTATATTAATTTTAGATATATATGTGTGTGTGTGTGTGTGTAGGTCTTTGGTTATTCGGGTTTTGGAAGTGTCTTGGTGACGTTTCGACGAAGTCCCATTCGTCATCATCAGGCTGGTGTCTTTGGCTTCGTGCTTCTAGGAGCATGAAGCCAAAGACACCAGCCTGAAGATGACGAATGGGACTTTGTCGAAACATCGCCAAGACACTTCCAATTTTACGTGGGAGAAAACCCGAATAACCAAAGACCTACATACAAACACCTGCGAAAACCTCAGAATATGTGTGTGTGTGTGTGTGTGTGTGTGTGTACAGTTAATATCTCGGGTTTCTTCCCATGTAATTGTAAACATATCCTTAAAAGGGATATGTTTTATATATATATATATATATCCTTAAAAGGGAGATATATATATATATATATATATATATATATATATATATATAGTATTTTCACAGAGTACAATTTGATATCACCTCTTTCGCAATAATTCTTTGCTCACATTTAATTTTAATATGGGGTTCTAATTGATTAAACGTAAGCCCAATATTGTACATTTGTGAAACTGATGTAGCACATTCTGTTAATAAGTCCATTTACTGAAAATTCTAAATTCAGACAACTATGGTATGAAAGTTAAATATGTTTAATTATAGACTGCTAAGAGCTCACCATGAAAAGTGTGAGGCAGTTATAATTGCTGTCTAGCTTTTTGAACACTAACTTCAGTATCAAAAAAGCTGCTCGGTCATTTCCATGAATTCTAAGGTCTCCTTACAGAACTAAAGAGACTTCACAGGGAAAAAGTAGTCAAAATCAAAATATGTAGATATGCTGGATTCCTTTGAATTCAGCTAAGATAGATTTGATAGGATCAAGGTTTTAGATCTTGACTTTATAACTTGGTTAATCATGGATGGAATGCTGAACTAAGCAGATTTTTTTAGTTTTGTCTTGCCTAAAAAGGATATTGAAATTTATTCATTGGCATCTTTTGTTTCAATCTGAGTATGGAGACAGTCTGTCTTTTTTGTTTTCATAAAGAAATATAATTAACTGGTATTAAAAATAGTTAATGTTTAAAAGAATACCAGTCATGTATAAAATGCTTCAAACTTTTGTTTGTACTATGAGTATTTTATCCTATTTTCCCCACAACAACCACCTTTTGAGGTGGGATGGTCTGAGAGAGAGAGACTGGCTCAAAGTCACTCAGCTGGTTTTCATGGCTAAGGCAGAACTTAAACTCAGTCCCACTTTGTAGCCTGGAGCCTCAACTACTAGACCAAACCGGCTCTCCATAAATACATGGGAATGAAGGGAATGTGTTTTCATGAGATCTTAGTAAACCATATGTAAATGTGTATGTGGTTGCTGAATAAGTTTAAATGTATAAGACTAATTCAGAAAATATAAAAGTTAATTCTGATATATAATTACCATAATATATTACAGTAAGAACAGAGATGACCATTATGTGCGAGTTTGTGCTATCAAATTTATCTGCTTGCTGGATGAATCAAACAAGCAGCACAAGAAATTTATAGGAGATTTTGTCATGAAACTACTTGATAAAGTAAGAATATGCTTATAGTGCTCTCTCTATAAAAACAGTTGTATGAACAGGAATGTTATTGAATTGCCATTTCCCTAATTGCCAATCAGATATCACCTTTGGGTGATCTTTCCTTGATTCCCAGCCATTTTGCATAGTTCCTCCTCTTCAGAAAGAAGAGTTTGGCCCTGCATGACTGCAGAATCGGGAGGAAGGTAGAACCTCTGTAAGATGAGTAGCATCTTGGTTTGGCAGAGACACAATAAGGATCCCCCTTGATGGGGGAGTTGTTTCTCAGATACTACTAGGAGAGGGTCTGTCATGAAACATGGCTATGGAAACTAGTACTAGAAAGCCTCCCTGTGATTTTTAGCAGAAGAGGAAATTCAGTCCCAGTCTACAGTCTTCTGCTTCCTTAGCCACCCTATGTTCATCATCATGCCCTACCAGTGGGCCTCATCCTTTGACTCCAAGCTGGCAGCCTCAACCTGCCTTTGTTCCATATTCGGCCAATTATTCCTCTTCGTTGCCTTTGGTTTTCTGATATTTAGAGAAGGTACTCACTGATTTCCCACAAAGTCTGCTGGAATGCCTCATCCCAGTGTTCCTGGGAGGAATGAGCAAGAGTATATATTACCAGCAAGAGCATTCAATGCCTGAAGGTCATCCCAATCACCTAGTTAAAGCAAGCAGGCGCCTCTATTGGGCAGCAGTGATATAGGAAGATGCCAGGGGCAGATGATCACTTTAGCAAAGTCATCAGTTCATATTGGATGGGAGAAAGCAACGTTCCCTATTTTTAACCAAAAAAACCATATGGCTATAAAATATAAAATGATTGACAATATAGTGCTGGATGTTAAGTCCTCAGGTCGGATGACATCGTAGTCCATAGATCAAGTTGCCAGTGTTGGGAAACAGTGATCTAGAAGAGCTGCTATCCCACTTTTTTATGCAGCTAAAGCAGCAAGTTATGTTTAGTTTTGCCAGGAAAATCGGTGAGCAAACCTTAAAAAAGGGTGAAGATAGGAAGCTAGGTAGTGGATCATCTGCTGTATCTAAAGCCGTGATGGTGAACCTATGGCATGCGTGCCAGAGGTGGCACGCAGCGCATTCTCTGATGGCACGTGAGCCTTTGCCCCAGTTCAGTTCTGCTGTGCGCGCCTCCCACTGGCCAGCTGATCTTCGGGTCTCTGCTGCGCATGCGTGGGTGTGTGTGGGGGGGCTGCATATGCATGTGTGGGGGATTGGATCATGCGCAGGGCCCGCACGTGCATTGCATTTTGGAGGTTTGGGCAGGTGCACTTTGGGCACTCAGTCTGGAAAAGGTTAGCCATCACTGGTCTAAAACCTGCTATTGACCACAATGGGAATCTTTTTCTTTTCCTTTATTTCTCCTCCTTGACCTCATTGGAAAAGAGAATGGGAGCATGAGCCCTTAATCTTGCCTTGCTCTGTCTTTAGAGCACTTCATATTGGCTCTTATGAAGACGGAAAGAACAACAACACTGGGGCAGCTTTGTGTTTGCGGGCACATACTTACATGTGCGCATGCACACACAGCCAGTTTGGGGATTATTGCATGGTAATTCCTGCCTAGTAGTCTATCTGATGTGGGTTTTTGTCCAAAATAACTTTTGGTAAAGCAAAGCTTCAGAAAAAGAAGTCACCTCCCATAGCACGTTTTATAGTTTGCATGCTATTTTAATAACATCATAAAATAAAGGACAATTTTAATTTTTGTTGTTAACTACTTCAGTCAATTCCTTTCATACAAGAGTACGTGAGATGTTTTATAGCATTTGTTGTTTGACTGAAATTAGAAGTATTCATATTTATATTCTTTGCAGGGTGAATTAATGTCCAAATCAAAAGTCCGCTATTATGTGAACTCCTTACAACATAGAATTGAAAATCGCCTGTGGCAGACATTGCTAGTTCTGTTTCCAAAACTTGATGAGGTATGGGTCACTTCGAACTTGCGGTTATTAAAATAGTGTTACCATTTATACCATGGATATGTAGTACTATAAGTATCTAAGACTGTTCTGTGATTTCTTCTGAGGATAAATGCATGTCGTGCCTATTGTTTCATAAATAGTTATGTTGCCATCTGAAATTGAGGTCATGGGATCTTCCAATCAATTGTCTAATCCTACCTGTAGAACTCTTCCCTTCCTCATACTGTACACTTGAGGGTGATCATAATCTTCAACTGTTTTATTGATTTGCATTAATTTGTTAGACTTATATCCCACCTTTCATCCTGGATCTCAAAGTAGGATACATAGCATTCCCTCCTCCAGTTTTTCCCTGCAATAACCCTGCAGGGTAAATTGGAATGAGATAATGACTAGCACAAAATCGCCCAGTGTGTTTCCATGGTTTAGGGTAGATTTGAATCAGGGTTTCCTTGGCCATAATACAACAATATAACCACCCCAGAGTGAGTTCTGGCTCACTCATTTTGTTTTAAAATGTATTAGGCCTTTCTATATTTCATTGTGATTTGTCTTCTGATTATTGGCTGCGTTATAATGTACAATAATGACCTACCTGTTCTATTCAGTTCAAAGTTGCGTTCTCATATGTAACAATTTTGCTTTAATGGAGGCAAGGCCAAACACACCTTGCCCAAACTTCAAGCCTCTGCAGAAATGGCTGCTAGTTTGTAATTTTTGATAAGATAGAATCATAATGATTAAAGGCATGAGAAATAATATGACAATTTCACTCAGTTGAATTTACCTTTTGACTTAGCAGTTTGGAATACTGTTTTGTTCAATAGAAACAACAAAAAATGTGTGATCCTCTGCTTAGAATGACAGTGATCTTTTGTGGAGAAAAAACTTACATTTAGATTGTATAATTATAGTGGATATAGTGCAAGATACTGCTAGAAAAATATCACTTTTTAAATATGTGTGTCATCTAGGGAGAGAGAAAATATTGAGGAAAGCAGCTGTACATGGGGAAAACCGTATAATACGTTGGTTACGATATTGACTAGGCATAAGGAGATCCTGGTTCTAGATGAGCCAACATAGTTCAACAGACTTCACATGGTGGTGGTTATCAGAAAATTAGTAGAAGGCAATGCTTGGGACATAATTTTATCTATTTATTTATTTGTCACATTTACACATCTATCCATCTCACATAGTGACATTAATCTTAAAACTCCTGAAAGAAAAGCAATTTAATAAATAAAATGTGATGAAGTTATCTGTAAATTAGAACTGATTTGGTTCCTGATATTTTATTTAGGATCTTTTATCAAGAATTGTTGACAGGATTCTTCAAGCTGGACATAATAATAATCAAGCATCAGTAAAGTATTTAATAGAGTGGAATATAATTCTGATTTTACACAAGTTTCCTCATTATCTTCAAAAATTCTGGAACTGCTTTAATTATGTAAGTAGCTACGTATTAAGGTATGAGTGAAGTACAAATAAAGAAGGGATTGTTTTTATAAAAATTGCATTCAAGGTTGTTAGAAAATATACTCCATTGACTTACTATTATTATTATTGAAAATATATGCTACATCAGAATAACAGTAGTTAGGATTCAGTATTAGGAAGTCAAGAATGATTCTTATTAGGCTCAACATATTTTTACAAATTGAGAAATAATTGAGATTAATACAGGATTTATTTTTCAGGATGAAGATCAATTTAAAACTAGCATTTGCACATTTTTAGCAGTCCTGTCACATTTTGACATAATTCTCCAGAATACAGCTGAAAAAGTAAGTGCTTTTGCTTGAAATTTAAAAAGTTGGTTATAGAAAATAAATCCTGTTATCTGCTCTTGATACCATCCATATGAGACTATTATTGTACATTTATATCAAGTTTTCCTTGAACATCTTTAAACCCATCAAAGATCTGTTTGGCCTCAATATCTAATCTAGTATCCTGTTTCTTTCAGGGACCAAATAACATAGGAAATCTCCCTGTGTCAGTCAGTAAGTTAGATAAACAACTGGTATAGAGACAGCATAGGGCCATCATAGATAGCACCAGGACAACCAAATTCTTTACTAATTTGTATAATTAATTTAATTTATTAAGCTTTAAAGCTCTAATTCATTGCCTCTTAATACATCTATTATATCTGTGCTGATATAAACAAATTATTTCCTTTGGCCAATAGAAAACATGATATATATTAAATGATATGAAGCATCTCACTTTGTTGTGTGAATCCAACATTTAATGGGGTTTTTCTCCCCTCCTCCCCAGACATTATCGTATATCCTAGTACCACAAGTACTTGGATTTTTAAAGAGAATATTAATGTATTCAATGTTTACAGGTTTAGTTCATCTAGATTCATGGCAGTTTATATGAATTTTATTTTTTTGTATCTTCCTACTTTGCTGAGTAGAGTCAAAGATTAAAGTACGATTTTCTCTCTCTCTCTCTAGATATCAGCCTTGAAGAAAGCGCTAATTGTTGTCCTACAGTGGTGCTTCCATCACAATTTTAGTATTCGGCTTTATGCTTTGATTGCACTTAAAAAAATTTGGGGAATGTGCAAAGCATCACATGTGAACGATTTTGATACTTTAACTTCAGTTATTGAATGTAGTCTAAATCAAGTGGAACTCATGCATGGCACAGGGTTAGTAGTGCATGTTTTAATTTAAAATATGGCTCTTTTTGTTGTCATGAAATGGTAAAAAGACTTTTTAGTTGATTCCTAGATAGGTTTGAGGAGCAATTTGGTATTACTTTAATGATAATCTCTTGTCTCAAAGACATCCAAAGAAATTACAGTGCAATTGTAAACAAGATTTAGAATTAAATCCCATAGGGGGCACTGTATCTCAACTCTGAGGAATTATATTTACCTTATTTGCCTTTGGATTTTGAATTCCTTAGGATGCTCTCAGTCCTTAAATATGTTATGTATCATCTTTTGTGACCTTCTGACAAGCGAAGTCAATGGGGAAGCCAAATTCACTTAACAGTCATGCTACTAACTTAATAACTGCAGTGATTCATTTAATGACTATGGCAAAATTAACTTAACAACTGTCTTGCTTATCAATAGAAATTTTGCGTTCAATTGTGATCATAAGTCTACCTGTACCCATAATGGAATTGATATCATAACAGAGAATTGAGCCACAGTGACCCCAATATAATGATTAATTCTTGTGCATTTGTACCAAAATTATTTTTTACAGACCTATTCTTTATTGTACCTACCGGTGACAAACTACATGCTGTTTTCTAAACTTTTAAATACTGTAAACATTTACATATTGTCAATTACATTTTATATCATTGTGGGACTGTGATTAACAATCAAAAATTATTCCACATAATTGATACCATAAGAAACTAAACTTAATCCATCAGTCTATCAATCTACTTTTAAACAGGAATGGTCTATATCAGTGATGGCTAACCTTTTTGCCGTCACATGCCAAAAGCAGGCAGAGTGGGGGGGATTGCACGCGCGTGTGCCCACACCCATAATTCAATGTGCCCCGTTCCCCCACGCATGCATGTGTGACCCTCCCACTCTCCCCCCGCTTTTGGCACGTGATGGCACGGTAGGCCCATTTTTTTGCCCTCCCCAGGCTCCAGAGGCTTTCTAGGAGCCTGGGAAGAGCAAAAACAGCCTTCCCCCCAAAAACAGCCCGTTTCCTGACTCCTGGTGGGCCCGGAAGGCCTGAAAATCAGCTGGCCAGCGCACACATGTGTGCTGGACTGAGGTAGGGCAATGCTCGCGTGTCCACAGATATGGCTCCGTTTGCCACCTGTGGCACCCTTGCCATAGGTTTGCCATCATGGGTCTATACAGAATGTTTCCTGTTACATCACATCTTAATGCCTTTTTTTTAAAATCATCTGCAGGAATGCTAAGAAGAATTGGCAGCGCATCCAGAAACATTTTTTCTTTGAATATTTTCATCCACTTAAGGATTACTGTCTTGAAGTAAGGACAGAATTCAGCATTTTAAAATATTTTTTTTGCCTATGTTTGTATCTGCTTTACCAAGAAATAGTGTTGTAAGACTTTTCAATATACTTCAATATATAGCTTTAAATAATCCCATAATGTCATAAAGCACAGCAGATTTGGTAGGATTCCTTACATGGATTAATGGATTCCTTAATCCATTAATCCATTATTTATTGAGTAATCATATTAAATAAATATTCAAATTAGATGAAACATTTTAATCTATTTCATCAAAATCATATTTTAAATTAACTCATATTTTTCAAATTTGGCAACTTTAAGATGTATAAATTTCAAATCCCCATCATATTGGTTTGGGAGTTCTTGAAGTCCACACGTTAAACTTGTCAAGTTTGCTATGGGCAAAAAATGGGACTAATTCTGTTTAAGCCTTTGTAAACTATTTAGAAGAAAAAATAGAACACAGATAAGATTTTTTAAAATCTAAAAGTAAACAAGCACAATATTATTTGGTATAAAAAATCTGCAGCTATTAATAGAAAAGTAAATGTTTATATCTATTATATATGATGCCATATTTTTTACTGAATAAGCCATTGTGTGCTGCTTCAATTCAAGCTGATTTGTGTTATTTTTATAAAAACATCAAAACTTTGTTCCACCTATATGCTTATTTTGCAGAATAAGCAAAAGCCACCTAAGCCATCCATATTTAAAAATAAGAAAACTTTCATCTTAAGGTTAAATGTGCCTACCTGCCTTTAAAACCAATTGGAATTCAAGCATATTTAATCATCAGTTTGACAGAAGCTGATCTTTCCATAGATATAGAATATACAGCTACTTGGAAGCAAGACAAGCATCATTGGTTGTCTTTTGCTGAAAATGTTACATTGAAGTGGAAGTTGATACTTCAAAATATTATTTTTTTAGACAATATTTTACACGCTGCCACGCCTTTCAGAAACTCCTGAAGAGGAATGGATCTCTCTCTCTAAATTTACGGCATTCAAAGATATTCCATTGAGTTCAACATTTCCATCCTGCCATTCTCAAACTACACTTCTTGACCTTAAGCCAAATGACTGGACTCAGCAAGATATCGGTAATAATAGTGATCATCAGAAGCTAAACAGCATTAGGAAATAATTTGTGCTGGTCGAATAGTTATACATATTTTATAAAGACTCTAAAATATATTTATGATATTTAAGAGCATAATTACTGAGCGTGCAGACTATATTTGTCCTAAGTACTTAAGTCCTAGAATGCTGAGATTCTTAAATAGATTATTTCATTTAGCTAATTACATAATTTCTCTCAGGACTGAATTTAGCTGAGCCCAATAATGAAAGGCGGTGGATGAATGTTCAGAAAAAAATTATCCCTTGCAAAGCCAGTGCTCCTGATTTGGATCTGGAGCTTATATTTCAAGATCGTGCCACTAAACTTGGAAAATCAAACAGGAAATTGATTGTAGTTGCTTCACTCATTGATAAACCCACCAATTTAGGAGGTAAACATTTACTCATTTTAAACTACTTATAGGTTTTGATTTGTTTTTACATTGCATGCCTTATATTTACAAAGTAACAAACCTAGTTTAGCCTAGAAAACAAATTGAGGATTTAAAAAACAGGAAATGGGTTCTTATAGTTTAATTTTCAAACTGTTTACACAAGAGAGATTTTTCCCTTAATTGTGTTAATATAGTGTAATATAATTAGTATATTAGGCTATTTTAAGGAATAGTTGTCCTATGCAATGTGCATCTTTTATTTTAAAGGTTAGGCTTAAAGGTTATTATCTTTATTTTATTTATTTATTGTGCCGTCAAGTCAGTTGATTCCTGGCAACTGCCTGGACAAACTTTGTAGTTTTTTTGGCAACATTGTTGCCTTCTTTGTAGAGCTGAGAGAGAATGATTAGCCAGACTAAGTAGGATTAGAACTCATGGCCTCCCAGTTTCTAGCCCGATGCTTTACGCACCACACCACACAGACTCTCACTGCATGTTTGCAGCCTCAGTTTGAATCTCCTTCCCTGGTACTTATGTGCACCATTCAGTTGAGGAAATCAATTCCGTATCAAAAGAGCTCTGTTTTATTTGTAGGTTTGTGTCGAACGTGTGAAATCTTCGGTGTTTCTGCTTTAACAGTTAGCAACCTCCATTATATAAACGACAAACAATTCCAGCATCTCAGCGTGTCTGCTGAACAATGGCTTTCTGTTATTGAAGTGAGTAAAGTAAACCTTCCCTGTTCTGTCACAGACATGCAAGTAAATTGGTATACAATCTCTTCCTGGTTTTCATGTAATTGCATCAAGTTGGACACTATAAATTGATCTGCATTAATTTTATGGCGTTTTTATATTAGTTGCAAAATTTAAAGGGACAGTCCAACTTCAGCATTATTATCTTTTTGATTTCAGTAGAATTATAATTGTGGGTTTTTCATATATAGTCAATTCTAGCAGACAAGGGGAGGAAAGAGTGAGCCTCACTTTGGGGCTTTGTATGGGCAGCTCTTGAATCAGACACCGAATTAACTAATATACTTAGTTACTGGTGAAATGCTGTGAATGGCACCAAGCTGAGGACTTGTTTACCATTCTTGAACTAGGGCAGCATTTTGATCCGTCCAATCAAAATGAAAAAGCTTCCGTCTACATAGTATTATGTAGTATTATGCCCTGCCACGTGGCAGCGGCCTTGCCTGAACTACTCAACGTTATAGCCGCGGTGGCGATTGATACCCCTAGACTTATGGTCATGGGGGACTTCAACCTGCCATCCGTCGGTGAGGCGTCTGAGGTGGCTCAGGAGTTCATGGCTTCCATGACGGCCATGGACCTGACCCAGTTAGTTCATGGCCCTACTCACACGGGGGGAAACACGCTGGACCTGGTTTTTGTCTCTGGTCAGTGGCTGAGTGGTCTCGAGATAGGGGATATAGCGATCGAGCCCTTGTCATGGTCAGATCACTCCCTCCTTCGCTTTGACCTTCGAACTGCCACACCCCGCCGCAGGGAGGCGGAACCGATGAGGTGGTTCCGCCCCAGGCGCCTGATGGACCCGGATAGGTTCCAGACGGAGCTTGGGCCATTTCCTGAGGCTCTGGCACACGGCTCGACTGAAGACCTAGTGGCTGTCTGGGATAGGGCGGCCGCTGGAGCTTTGGACCGGGTCGTGCCTTTGCGGCCTCTGACCCGGCGTCGATCTCACCTGGCTCCCTGGTTCACCGAGGAGCTGAGGGAGATGAAATGCCGGAAAAGACGCCTGGAGAGCAGTTGGAGGGCCAGCCGTTCTGAATCTGACCGAACACTGGTAAGGTCTCATATTAAGACCTACCTGGTGGCAATAAAAGCGGCAAAGTGTAACTATTTTTCCGCTCTTATTGCGTCATCAGATAATCGCCCGGCCGCCCTGTTTAGGGTGACCCGCTCCCTGCTCCACCAGGAAGCGCGGGAGGACCCCTTGGAGGGTAGAGCCGAGGACTTTGTACAATATCTGTATGACAAAATCGCTCAGATTCGGGAAAATTTGGACTCTGACTGGGTAGATTCGGGAGGGAGGATGGAGGCAAGTCTTGAGAATATTATCTGGGAAGAGTTTGATTCTGTGACTCTGGAAAACGTGGACAAGATACTGGGCAGACTAAGCGCGGCCACATGTTTATTGGACCCGTGTCCCTCCTGGCTGGTGCTGGCCTCTCGGGAGGTTACACGAGGCTGGCTCCAGGGGATTATAAATGCTTCCTTGAGAGAGGGTGTCTTCCCTGCTGCCTTGAAGGAGGCGGTGGTGAGGCCTCTCCTCAAGAAGCCTTCTCTGGACCCAGCAGTGTTGGCTAATTACCGTCCAGTCTCCAACCTTCGCTTCATTGCGAAGGTTGTTGAGAGTGTGGTAGCGTGACAGCTTCCTCAGTACTTGGATGAATCGGCTTATCTAGATCCGTTCCAGTCGGGCTTCAGGCCTGGATACAGCACGGAAACGGCATTGGTCGCATTGGTAGATGATCTCTGGAGGGCCCAGGACAGGGGTTGCTCCTCTATCCTGGTCCTATTAGACCTCTCAGCAGCTTTTGATACCATCGACCATGGTATCATGCTGCACCGGTTGGAAGAGTTAGGGGTGGGAGGCACCGTGTTGCGGTGGTTCTCCTCCTTTCTATCTGATCGGTCGCAGTCTGTGTTGACAGGGGGGCAGAGGTCGACCCCGAGACCCCTTGTATGTGGGGTGCCACAGGGGTCGGTTCTCTCACCCCTTCTGTTCAACATTTATGTGAAGCCGCTGGGTGAGATCATCCGTGGTTTTGGGGTGAAGTATCATCAGTATGCTGATGATACTCAGCTATACATCTCCACCCCGGACCACCCCAATGATGCCCTTAAAGTGATGTCCCAGTGCCTGGAGGCTGTACGGATCTGGATGGGGAGGAACAGACTCAGGCTCAACCCATCCAAGACCGAGTGGCTGTGGTTTCCGACGTCCCGATATAGTCAATTGGTGCCATCACTGACTATTGGGGATGAGTCATTGCCCCCCACGGAGAGGGTTCGCAACTTAGGCGTCCTCTTGGACTCACGGCTGTCTTTAGAAGAACACTTGACAGCTGTGGCCGGGAGGTCTTTTTATCAGGTTCGCCTGATTCGCCAGTTGCGTCCCTTTCTGGATCGGGACTCGTTAAAAACGGTCACTCATGCCCTCGTCACTTCACGCCTGGACTACTGTAATGCTCTCTACATGGGGCTCCCCTTGAAGAGCACCCGGAGGCTCCAGCTGGTCCAGAATGCGGCCGCGCGGGTAATTATGGGAGCAGCATGGCGCTCCCATGTGGCTCCCCTCCTGCGCGAGCTGCACTGGCTCCCTGTGGTCTTCCGGGTGCGCTTCAAGGTCTTAGTTACCACCTTTAGAGCACTCCATGGCTTAGGACCGGGGTACTTACGAGACCGCCTTCTGCCACCAATAGCCTCTCACCGCCCAGTACGCTCCCATAGAGAGGGGCTTCTCAGGGTGCCGTCAGCCAAACAATGTCGACTGGCGGCCCCCAGGGGGAGAGCCTTTTCTGTGAGGGCACCCACCATCTGGAACGAGCTCCCCCCAGAGATACAGAAGATTCCGGATCTGCGCACTTTCCGCCGTGCCCTCAAAACATTCCTGTTTCAGCAGGCCGGCCTGGCCTAACTTTCCCTTTATATTGCTTTTTGATTTTATTTTAAACTGGGATGTCTTGAATTATCTAGGACCAGAATGTTTAGTATATTTTAATTGGGTTTTTTTTTTATTATTATTATTAACGTTTGTATTACATGTATTTTTATCGTTCGCTGTTCACCGCCCTGAGTCCCTTAGGAATAGGGCGGTATATAAATTTAATAAATAAATAAATAAATAAATAAATTAGCCAGGATAGATCTGTTCAGTCAGAACATGCTATACCTTGCTTAGTGGGCTAATGTAAAGTACACACTTCCAAACCCTAATACTAATCTTTTTTCAAAAATTTACAGGTAAAGCCATTTCAGCTTATTGAATATTTGGAACAGAAGAAAATTGAAGGCTATTCTATAATAGGGGTGGAGCAAACAGCCAAAAGTTGCAATTTAATGGAATATTTCTTTCCAGAGAAATCCCTGTTATTATTGGGGTAACAAAAAATCTAATTCTAATAAAATTTTCAAATGTATTTTGGGTAGAGAATACTGACAACAATTCAGAAAATAAAAAGAAACAGTTTTGCCTGTGCACTGCAGAACCTTTCCTTAGAGAGCTACATTCCCTAGTGATTTATCTGTTAGGCAGCCACATACTGATAGTAGGTAGGTTGAAAATTGTACTATCTCTGCAGTACAAGTATGCACCAAAGACAAATTCCTTGTGTGTCCAATCACACGGCCAATAAAGAATTCTATTCTGTTCTGTTCTGTTCTGTTCTGTTCTGTTCTGTTGTTCTGTTCTGTTCTGTTCTGTTCTATTCTATTCTATTCTATTCTATTCTATTCTATTCTATTCTATTCTATTCTATTCTATTCTATTCTATTCTATTCTATTCTATTCTATTCTATTCTATTCTATTCTATTCTTCTATTCTATTCTGATAAAATGCAGGAGAATAAAACTGGGCCACTTATATTTGGTGGATACTTGATTGTACCTAGCAGAAGTTCTAAAAAAAAGAGTTTTGAGTCCAAATCACATTATTCTCAGTGATAGTTCACAAATTGCTACAGTAATTGCTATCCATACTAAAGTACAAAAGACTGCTTTGTTAGTATTTATTGATTTTTTGTCCATGGCCTGGACCTCCAATAAAAAGTCCAATAGTATTTTGGAGTAGGAGGGTAGAAATGAAAATATATAAATCTGGTTATTGATCTTTCTAGCTCAATATTATCAGCAATTTTGACTGATGACTCTGATTCTGGGTTTATTATTTATTAGTTAATTTGGTTTAAAATGGAATTTTGTTGTACACGTTTTTAACTTGTGTTCGCCACCCTGAGTCCTTCTGGAGAAGGGCGGCATATAAATACATGAAATAAATAAATAAATTTTACTGTATTCAAGGGAGATACGGTTTTAGAAAAACTGGCATTTGAACTTGATTTTTTTTCTACATGTGAAGCCTGTGTTCTGCCATTGAGCAGTCTTCCATTTCTGCTAATGTAATGCATTTTTTGTTTCTTTTTAAATCAGAAATGAACATGAGGGAATCCCAGCAAATGTAATTCAGCACCTGGACACTTGTGTAGAAATTCCTCAGCAAGGAGTTATTCGTTCACTTAATGTACATGTAAGTGGTGCTCTGCTCATTTGGGAATATACAAGACAGCAGATGGCCAAGGAAAAAGAACAAAGACAAAATGTTTAATTTTTGTTGAAGCTGATAACTCGATGGTGCTATAAATTCCCTGAAATGACGATAGCTACAATTTAATTATGTATTTTGTATATCTTCATTTTAAACAAAATTAATGTTAATTTTTAAAACCATGAGAGTATTAAAATTGTTTTTAATGCAGTTTTCGGTGCTAGTGAATTCTGATTATATTGCTGTAAACACTACTTCTTGATAGTTCTGAAAGTGGTGGTAAATAATTACTAATTTGCAACACAATTGGGTGCAGTGTAATTTCTGCAACTCCACAGAGCTGTCAAAAAATGAATAGAGCAACCTCTATGCTGTGCTGGACTATACAACTTTACTCCATGCTGGACTATATAAATTTACTCCATTAACTTTTTCCATTATGCAGAAAATCTATTTGTATGGTCACTAATGAATCAAAAATGGACATTATCAAGATGCTGCACACAGCAATATAGCAACTCGCCATTTGACAATTCTAGTGTCTTTCTTGTTGCACTTGGTCATGACCGTGCAGTTTTCTGGCACTGGTTTTGGAGATATTTTTCTCAACATATACTCAAGTATTTTTGGTGTTTTCCAAATCCAGCATTAACTCAAACTGATCAGTTTCTAAAAACTGTATATATGTCTACAAATTTTAATTCAACATATTAAACAAAGTGATTTCCCATACATCTGGATCAACCAAAATGAAATATTTAAGGGTGTTACTGTTGATAATTTAAAAAAATTATTCAAGATGTAATTTATACAACGGACCACTGAAATACACTAGACATTACTTTACCGGTACATTGGGAAAAACTTTTGGAAGAGAGTATTTGCAGTGAAAACATGATACAAGGATTTGAATTTATACAGTTCATTTATTTTGATTTTATTGATGATGTAGTCTTTTAGTGGTGAAAGGTAAGCATATTTTCCTAAGTGCCTCTTCTCTCCAATAAGCATTTCAAATAACAAGCTGGAGCTTTCAGGCCAGGATGAGATTTATAAACAACAACAAGTCTTAAAATTTATAGGACATTGCTGGTGCCAACATTTATGTTCTTCAATTATGCTGTTTTTTTGCAACTTCCCTCGTGTACAGTATTGTAAAAGTTCTCTAGTTGCTATGACTTCTCTGTTTTCTCTGAAGGCAGAAATTGTCCTGATTCCATTTGTGCCTTATATTGTAAATAATCTCTTCTTTTATTAAAGTATTTAACCTGTTTTGAATAAAATCACTTGGTTAGCAAGTCAACCAGCTCAGTAAAAGTCTAAAGTAATAAAAGTACAAAAAATATTACACCCATCATGACATTTTAGATTTAATTTAATGCCACTATTATTGATCTATCTTCAAAAACTAATGTTCAATCAATTTTATACACATATTTTTTTAGAAAAATAATATGGAACTACATACTTCTTTCTTTTGTTACATATATTGGGGGAAAAAGCCATATCATTGTGCATGAAACTTATGGAGTGAACAGGTCTGCAACCTAGGAAGACATTGTTGCTTTAATGTTTTAAAGAAAGGTACTTCCTACATGTAGCTCCTAGGTGTTGCAGAGCAAGGTTTGCACAATTCTTGTAGCTATGTAGAAAGTAGTTAGCTTAGTAATGATTTATGCATTGGCTACAAATTACAAGTGGTTCCTCTATTTCAAATTACAGGCAGATGGTTTTGAAATAAGATTTTGTGTTAATTATAAGAAGCCTTCCCATGGGAAAATGCTTTTAATTCTTTTTTAAAAAGCATGATACAATGGGAAATTGAAGGCTGGACACTAAGGCAGGGATGGGCAATGGTGGCTCTTTTACAACCGGTGGACTTCAACTCCCAGAATTCCTGAGACAACTTGGCTGTCTCAGGAATTCTGGGACTTAAAGTCCACCGGTTGTAAAAGAGCCACAACTGCCCACCCCTGCACTAGGGGAAAACAGAAGGAACTAAAGATTATACTTAAATGAGAAGAACACTTAAATTCAATTTACAAATACAGAATGAAGCAAAATATTTTAATATTGGCCACATCAAAGAGAAATTTTGAATAATGGACCCAAAAGTTACTTTTAGGAGTGCCTGCATCTATAGACCATGTTTAAGAGACATTATGGAAGATGAATAAGTTTCACCTGTGAAGACAGACTAATCTGACAGTGGAGTTAAAAATAATAGGCTACAAAAATGATATTGGAAAAGATGCTACACTGGACATACAAAAGAAATTGGCTAATGTCTTAATAATTAAAAGGGCTGTATGAATAACAAACCAAGAAATTCTTCTGGATAATTTTCTTATATTGGATTTACAAAAAGAGGCTTGTTAATACCTTTAAGAATTTTATGAGAAGGAGCCAATGAAGCTCTAGGATATTACTTTAAGGGACTAAAGAGCAAATTTGTTAAAAGAAAAATGAAGTAATAAAAATGTGGTTTATTTGTGGAGGTTAAAAAAAAGATACGTTATCCTTAATGGACTTCTGCTGATGTGAAATTTCAAGACTTTTAAGGATTTGTTTATAGATAAGAGATGGCATATGAGAAGAACCTTTTTTTTTTTACTATATTTACTATAGTATATTTCATTTTTTTCTATTTTTCTTTTCTGCACCTTCTATTTCCCTCCCCTCCACTACAATTGTAATTTTTAATATTTATTGAAAAAATGCACTTGACAAATGCATAAAAAGCCATCTTCCTGGAGCAAAATAAACAAAACATGTTCCCAAAATTCTAATTAAGCATGTGCCAACAAATATGACTAGAGAACTCTTCACTGTATCTGGACTCTGAACATGTGAAAACTCAAGCTAAGGATCTCTATACTGCAAATTCTCTTTTTGAGACATTAGGAAAGTCCTTGTTTATGTCCATTACAGAGGTGGGGAACAGGAGGCAATACTAGTCATATTTTCTGGGCAGCCACTCAAGCCCAGGAAAAATATGCAACTTCTATAAGGAGCTGCTGATAGGTACAGCCTACTTCAGATCCAAATGATGCAAATCTCCACTCTTGATAAAGAAATATCATGTCCGGTATGTGTGTATAAAAATGAATAAAAATAGTTACTTACCCACTGCTGTGGGCATAAATTTTCAAAAGAGCACCTCAATTTGTCACATTTTGATGTATCTTTCGTATTTTCATCTAAGCATTTCCAATAAAAATCTCGGGCATCCCAGCAGGCTTTCCTTTCTTTCATAGATGGTGCTGACATTTCTGAAACTCCTAAAAAAAGAATTAAAGATGAAATAATCCTTAATTTTTGTTGTTGTTGTTGTAAATCTCTTAAATTACAATCCACAAAAACCTTGGAAGCTAGTCTTCAATTCTAGGTGTGCTTATTTCAAATATGTACCTGAATGTTGTAAAAGTCTTCCGCAAGTCAGGGTGTTCTTGTAGTTTACTTACCTCTGAAGATGCAAAGTTTTTCAGCCAAAGATGGAAAAAAGATTATTATAAAGCTAACCTAGCATTAACTCTGGCCCATTTTTTCTTCAAGGAGCAAAAGAGCTAACCCTGGCCCATTTTATTTTCTTAACTGTCAAGCGCCAGGGAAATCGGGAGATCCAGGCAGTTCAAATGGGTATTAAAATTTATTGCAAGTTAAACTCTACAAGAATCTAAACTACTAACAGTCAAAGCAACTTGGCGGTAGATAAAGGAATTCAAGATGGGCTGGACTTCGATCTCTTGTGGGCACAAAGGGACTGATAATGTGTTTGACCCCTCTCTCTGTCTCAACCTGGTCATCTACAATACTACTATACTAGTAGTAATTTGCCAAACAGTTTCAAACCTGAGCCTCCTGAGTTTTAATCCAATAATTCTAACCATCATACCACTTTGGTTCTGATTGTTTCATTACTAAATATCAAAATCTATAGGTTAGTACAAGGCTAAATAACAGTGAACATAAAGAAATGATGCATGAATAAGCATATGACATTAGGTGGTCATTTCATGCGGTGCGTGGGGGGGGAGACATGGTAAACGTACACATTATACCTCATCTTTCCTAATCTGGCTTTTACAACTCACTGACTCACTATCACTCACTATTTCAAGTATACATGAAAATAACGAGAATCTTTCAGAAGGAAACCATGTAATTATGTCAGCTATATTGACAGGAAAAAAGATGTGTTTCTCCATATAAAGAGATTAAACTCTGAAAAAGTAAATACATAACTTGGGGGGAAACTTGAGGGTGTCAATCATATACTTGCATTCAATTGGACTTGAATAGATATCAATGGGGCAGCATTTAAATTTTACTTGACAAAGAAGGCATGTGTTCACAGATGGAACAGGAAAGTTAATCTAATGCCATAAGTCTGTCGTCTAAATGGGGCTATTAACAGAATTTTAAAAATTGATACAAGCCCATTTGAAAATTCTTACACATACATTTCAACAGAAAAAGGCCCATAGCACCTATGTGGTGCATATGGGCACTGTGGTCTAAACTCGGAAGTACCTGGAATACTACCTTGTACACCTCTGATATATTCAAAGCACAGCAACAAATGGACTATTGCTACTTCAAATGCCATCAGTCCATCCCAGATATGGGTCACCTGAGAGCCTTTAATCATTTTCTATATTTCACATTTTCTCCAGGTGAGAGTTTTGCATTTACCACTGAGTCTCAAGCTATTCCACTGCCATGTCCAATTTGTGTTAGATCATTACAATTCATTTAAAACACACTATTTGGTTATTAATTCCGGAGCCAAACTTGCGTGCTGTGGTTCAACGAACCGGAAATAACAGCAGTACAGATAGTCCTCAACTTACAACAGTTCATTTAGTGACCGTTCAAAGTTACAATGCCACAAAAAAAGTGACTGACCTGTTTTTCAGTTACCTTTGCAGCATCCCCATGATCATGTGATCAAAATTCAGATGCTCTGCAACTGGTTCATACTTATGACCGTTGCGGTGTCCCAAGGTCATGCCACCTTCTGTCAAGCAAAGTGAATGGGGGAAGCCAGATTCACTTAACAATCCGGTTACTAACTTACCAACTGCAGTGATTTGCTTAACAACCTTGGCAAGAGCCTGGTGGCGCAGCAGACTAAACTACTGTTAAAAGTACCATTTAGCTGCCAGCTGCCTGCAATTACTGCGAGTTCAATTCTCACCAGGCTCAAGGTTGATTCAGCCTTCCATCCTTTCAAAGTAGGTAAAATGAGGACCCGGTTTGTCCTCATAAACTGACTTTGTATAAAATAGAACACCGCTTAGGGGGCCCAAAAAAGCCCTACTAAGCAGGTATATACAAAAGTATGAAAGCTATTGCTTAATGCAATGTAAGCCGCCCCTGAGTCTCCGGAGAAGGGCGGCATATAAATCAAACTAATAAATAATAAATAAATAAGAGAAGTTGTAGAATGGGGCAAAACTCACTTAACAAATGTCTCTTAACAAATGTTGGACTCTATTGTGGTTGTAAGTGGAGGACTACCTGTAATCACTACACACACACACACAGACACACAAATACCCCTTTGATTCTGGTAGGCTTTGTACTCGAAGAGCTACTTCTCCTTAGCTCTCTGCTTCTGTTTCCCTGGAAATGCGATCTATCTGCAAAGGAAGAGAGGAAGGCGGGACCGTCCCGTGAAAGGTCTCGAAGCGCCAACTACTTACCACCTGCGGTTGCACCGGGACGTGAAGCCGGTTACAAACAACTCCTTCGCCACTATCAGAAAAAGCAGCCAAGTAATGGGAGCACGACTTCCCCCCCCCCCCGCTCTCCGCCACAAAGCCAAAAGCTGGCCGTGGGAAATAAGGTGCACGTCCCCTGCACAGGGTTCAAAAGAAAAAGCACCTTTGAGGCGAGCGCCAATGCAATCACGCTCCCCGTACAAAAGTGGGCTGGCTGCAGCCCGCTCGCCCTTCCGACGCTCTCCTTCGCAGGTCCTGTTAATACTTACCTGGCGCACTTCCGGAACAGCTACATCCCCGGATGTTCGTCTCTATCAGACGTCTTCAAACTTGGCCGCTTTAAGACTTGTGGACTTCAACTCCCAGAATTCTCCAGCCAGCTATCCCAGAATTCTGGGAGTTGAAGTCCACAAGTCTTAAAGCTGCCAAGTTTGAGGACCCCTGGCCTCTATCAACCACACCGGAAGTGGATATGCTATTCGTTCAACCGGCAGGCTGTGTAAAGAGCCTGGGGGAGGAACGTACAGGGGTTACCTAGCACGCATGCGCACTTGGCCCGAGCGACTTTTAGCTAGGAAATTGCCAGGACCCCGTTCCCTTTTGTACAGGTAGGAAGGCAGAAAGTTTCCGTTGGGAAGTCTATAAAGATTCTCAGTCATTCAGGTCGTGGTTGTCCCAGAGTTGCTTTTTCAGGAAGAAACTGGACTTTCTTAAAAGTTTTTTTTTCTTTCGAAGACGTTTCGCTTCTCATCCAAGAAGCTTCTTCAGCTCTGAAAGGACATTGGGGGAATGGAAGGATGCCTGCTATTCCTTGCAGCTGTCTGCAAGGAATGTAAATCCTTCCATTCCCCACTATCAGAGCCGAAGAAGCTTCTTGGATGAGAGGCGAAACGTCTTCGAAAGAAAAAAAAAACAAAGTCCAGTTGCCTCCTGAAAAAGGGATTTCCGTTGGGAAGGGAGTTGCTAGCAATTGGGAAGTTAGAAATTTTATTTGCTTTGTCAAGGGCATTGGAAAACCCAAGAGTGCTTTTTAAAATTTGCTTTTTAAAATTTAAAATAAGCCTTATTTTTTTTTACAAGCTTATTTATTAAGGTTTATATCGTCGCTCAACTTGACTTTGGGCAAGAATATAAACCAAAGAACAAAAATACAAAAGTGAAATAAATAATAGCAGCTAAAGATTTAAACAAGAAAAATGTACCTGAGTAGAGATTAATCTGTCTGCCTGAAGATACGTTGTCGGTTTTTTGATGACATTATTACTGCTACTTTCATTGTGTTGATGGTATTATTGTTGATCTGCCTAATCATTTTGATAAATTTTCCTTTATTGTATGATACATATAGTTACACTGCAAACTGCTTATTCTTCAAAGTCCTGATTATTGTGCTGAATTATATGGATTATGATGTGTCATGTGTTGAGCTAAACGATTGAGAACATTTTTCATTCAGCTGAAAATGTAGATGAAATATTTTATTATTTCATCTATACCTTTCCTCTGAGACTTAAGAATCCAGTGTTCAGCATAACACAAATAAGATACACCTTTATATAAAGGACTATGTTTTAACATAAATATGTGTCTTAACATTAAGATTAGTAAGAGTGACCTGACTAGAAGCCAGAATAGAGGTAGAAATAAGAATTAGGAAGAATATTAGTAGTTATAATTTCTATATAAATGGAAAATAAGTAATAATTAGATAGAAAAATGAGAGGTTGAAAGATGATATTACTATGTATGTTCAAGATCATTGACATTAGAATGGAACATTGAAATACTGAATAACTACTTTAAAATAATCAAGTACATTAATATTAGGACTAGATAAGTTTAATTAATATAACAATTGACTGTTGTTATTTGTATTAACGTGAATCATACCCAGAGGCCATTCTGTTCATGTATTGATGTTGCTATGTTTAAAAATAAAAACCCAATAAACCTTGAAAAAAAATAACACAAATAAGATTCCCCCTCATTTTATATTCATTTAGGACCCAGACATATTTCTGGGAATAAACTGGATGAAAACAGTACCACTGCTCCCACGTCATCCAGTAAACCTCATTGATAAGTGAGAATTTGAACTTCAGATTCCTTGCTTCGACCCTTAGCATTTTTTTTAAGTACTTCTAAATCACCTGGACTGAAAAAATACTGGTGCAGTCTTAAGAAGAAACTCTCCTCTTTCTTCTTTTTCTTTTGCTAAATATTGTTGAATAAGTCTAATGACGTGGCTCATTTGTGTGCATAATAATAATCCAAAGGCATTAGTGAATTTTATAGTTCTTCGGCACCCAGGAACCTATGGCAAGTTTCAGTTTTTGTGATTTCTAAGATATTTAGTATTGTGTTTTCTCTTTTTGAAAATTGATTGTAGCTAAACAGTGGGGTGCAAGCTTTGCATTTAGAGGGCCTGTCTTCTCTCTGGCATTGTCAGCTAAAAGGATTGTGTAGTGGATGATGGGAAAGATGTTTTGTTTGAGACCATGTATTTGGAAAGGAGGGAGATCTGAGGAACATCTGCTCCAGTCAGTAATGTAGCGACTAGTTGTTTTTTATTCAAAATAAAGACCGTTGGCTGATCCACTAACTCTTGAGCAAAAATTAGAACTAATATATGAAAATTATAAAAGCTTATTTTGGCTAAAACAGGAGAAATGACTTAACAAAGAGATCTGTTCTACTGGAAGGAACTGCCTTGGACAAGAGAGAGTTGTAGATTTTGTTTTACTGGAAATATTTAAGATATGACCATTTATTTCTTAAGCACACTACTTGGACTCTGCATTGAGAATCCTGTAATAACAATGGTTTGGACTAGATGACCTAAGAAATCCCTCACAATACTATTATTTGCTGTCATCCTGCCATAGATGAAAGATCTATAGATAGGTCAATAAATATGACCTCATATCTTTAACCATTCTTGTTCCTGAAATATTTGGTTATATATAACCTTTTAATGATATTACCACCATTCTGTTCTATTACGCGGGAAAACTTTCTAAAATATTTATAGATGTAATACCGTGTTTCCCCGAAAAGACCCTGTCTTTTATTTTTTTTGAACCCTGAAATAAGTGTTTGGCCTTATTGCCATGCGCTCAAAAGCCCAATTGGGCTTACTATCAAGGGATGTCTTATTTTGAGGGAAACAGGGTATATAGATAAATATCTAATTTTCTTCCAATATAATCAATGGGATGTTAAATGGTTAATTTTGGCTCAATTGTGCTCAGCATATAAAATCCTTAATTAATAATCGCTGCTTCTAAAACCCTAAACTCAATGACTAAAAATGAAAAAAAGTATGCAGTGATTTATGTTATTATATAAACTATTTGTGAGGTTGGTAAAAAATGAATTTCTTCAATTGCCCAGATCAGCTGTAAAGGTCTGTACTTGAATTATCCAAATTATATTCTTCTAAAAGTTGATGCTTTTAATAGTGATTAATGACTTCCATATACAATAATGATATTTTTACTTTAAAATCATGTATCACCTTATTTTTAACATAATCAGGAATCTTGAATCAAACGTACTCTACAATTTTTCTCCTTACCAAATCTGATATTATTCAAGATTTAATATGTAAATTGATTATCTGTATACAGCTACATTGTTCAGGATTTTTCATCTAAAGGGAAACGTTTAATTCTCAATATTTTGCACTTATTTATTCTCCTCACATGTGCTGATAAAGGAAACAAATTTCAAGTATAGAGGGATAATAAAGAATTTGATACATATTAATGGGAAAGAAACCATAAAAAATTCCAAGCATAGGAACATTTGAGGTAGATGTCACTAAGCTGTAATAGCATCAAATTGCTTTGCGGTTTTTCTCAAAATCACTAAACAAAGATGTGCTAATCTCCAATTCTAACATAACTTGTTTAAAAATCCAAAAACTATACATTGCTTTAAGCAGGATGAGAAAATTACTATAACCCGGAGAAAACTTTTGACAGTCTTAGTACTTGTTTTTCCACTTTTTATTACACATTTTTATGCAGGTTTTTTTTTTTTTTTAGTAAAACTAATGTAACTCACTATAAAACATAAATGCAAGCAAAAGCCATTGACTTGATATGAAGTTGCAGTAGTTTTTATTCGTTTTGTCAAGCAGATAATTGAATCTGAAATTGATTCAGTAAAAAGTTTAGAAGTGCAACCTCCATCTGACCCAAAAATGCCAAGGAACCAGCACACACTATTGGGTTATGGCAACATTTAAAAATAATGTTTTCCATTTTGAATGCAGCAATGTAAACTTCGAAAAGAGTAAACTGTCACCATCGCCTATTTCTTTGCACATACCACATCATCTATCACAGATAGAAATCCAATGGCAAACCAAATTATACAAGTAAACAGCATGGTGCTTACCAGTTTTGTAAAAAGTTTTAGGTTTGATGTAAGTATCTTGATGTCCTTAAAAAAAATAGCAATGAATAAAAGCAAATGCAATTCACTTATATTTTCAATATTGTACACATTTTTTTCCAAACAGCTGCAAGCTTTGTTGTTCGTTTTTAAGCATGGTTCTTGGATGTACGGCATGATTCTCCCCTCACAGAAATACAGGTCAGGAGCGTCTCCAGATCTGTGCAAGTGGGAAGTAAATCTGGCCGCCACAGAAGACATAGTAGTCCTCAAATAGTCTGCACTCCCAGTAATCAGCAGCTTGAAGTAGGCACTCCTTGATTTCTTTGTGAATTTCAAAAGCACTGTGTCTATGGAACACATTCTTCATGTTGAAAAATCGATACAAGCAACTTGCAAGGTTTCCTATTTCTATACAGACAATGGACTAGAATTCTTTAGAAGGCACTGTATTTTCCTTTGCATGATATTAAGCGCAGACTGCAATCATGCACACTTAAGTTTGTTCCCCCTGAGAACTTTCTTTGCACAAGCTCCACTGAGGCAGACAGTGTATGTGTGCAAAAATAACACACTGTACAAAGTATCCTGTACTCTTGCACTGTTCCCATTCACGTTAGTGGGGTTTTCAAGAGTAATGCCTGGGTGATGGCACTTTGGTACTCTTGATAGTTACACCCACATGCTTCAGTGCAAACCTAACATTTTTACTTTCTTTTAATCTGGCACCAAGTGCACTTATCTTCACAAAACACTCTCCCACCTTCCCACCCCTCCTTCCCAAAAAATAGTTTATTTTGGTTCTTTTGCAAATGTTTCATGTGCAGCTCTCATAAAAAATAAGCTTATGACATAAGCATAATATTTGTTTCTCATATATGTGTTTGTATATTTATATATATATATATATATGTTTGTGTGTGTGCATGCACACACGCATAAATCACAGTGTGCAATGTATTATTCAGTACATAATGTTCAAAATGTATGCCCTCCATCTCATGATTATCAATAAAATCATATATGCAAAGACTTTATACGTTACATTCATTTAAAAAGAGTTTCATGTTTTGGAGAGGTTCTCCCAAAGTGAAAGGTTGAATGTGAAACAGTGCAAGCAATTTAGTGATGCTGAAACTTGATGCCTTGGACTCTATTATTATCAAAACTGTACATCTGTATATATTTACTGTATTGAACATGTGTGCTTTGCAAGAAAAAAGCTATGATTTAAAGTATACAATATTAAGGAATGTTCATAAAATAATATTAATGTGTGAATGATGACATGGAGGGGCGCGTTCTTCTACTTTTATTTTGCAATCCTGAAACAATGTCTCCATTTCCCTCTGGAATTTCTTCCTTCTTTCGTACTTTGAGGCGGGTAAGGAGTTTTATTAACCACTCATCCCACTCCTCTGGTAGAAGCAGCAGGAGGAAGCCCAAGCCAATTATGACAATGGCAATTACACGGACACTGTTGAAGACGATATCACTCGAGTAGTGATCAACAACTGCATAAAATATTGAACAGATAACATTAAAGATGGAATAAAACATATTGAAGTAGTACATATGCAATAGCAAAAGATTTGGATTTCATTCTCACAAACCAAGAGCCTATAAATGCAGCCAAGTCATATGAAGCTGAACATTACTAGTGGAATCAGGCATTTATCAACTGACTGAGGTATCTGACTTCTCTTCTTTGAAAGGTTTATTAAGTTGCCAGGTGAAGGCTACCAGACTACTGATGCTCTACATTCCACTTGGGTTAGTTCTGAGCTAGTTTCACCTTGCATCAAAGTGTCCTTGTTTTGCAGACAACACAAATAATGCTTTAAAGATTGTCAATTTTTTTTTAATTTGTTAAAATTTTTTGTTGCCCATTTCCCCTATAAAGTGGGTCTGGGCAGCTTACAGATAAGATTTATCATTGCTCTAAGATTCTTGTCCACCAACTCTCCTGCTATATAAAAGAAGGGCACTAGTGCAGACTGATTTTTGTTGTGATCTTGGTCTTCATAACCAAGCAGAATCTCTGAGTAGGAACTGTATACTTGCCATAACTCCCAATCTATAGTAATTCCTTATGTGGCAGCTTCTGGAAATTGCTGGTGGATGTGACACGTAATCATACCACTTGTCATTATGGCAACTATTATCAACAAAGTTTAAGATGCGAAATTGAGCAATCAAGTCTATAGACTGGGCAAATTTTAAAAACTTAACAAGTATGCCTCCTCCTTTGAAATAGCAGCAGGGAACTCTATACTTTAGAAACAATACCATTCCAGACAAATTGACTTTCTATACAGAGTGCTAAACTTATTTTTAGAGAGTAATGTTCTAATGTTCTTTAAAGTGCTCTTTAAGATTATCAAACACACATTTTGAATGAGATCAAACACTACTTCGCAAGAGCACACAAAAATATATGGACCTCTAATTTGTGCTTCCAAAAATGCCACAATGGAGATGGTTGTCGTGATGTAGGCAGCTTCCTAGAAAGCTAAATGACACAACCATCCAACACACACCTAGATGTCACCAAGGGAAGAATTTTGTAACCAGAAGCAGCCAATAGGAACTGGCCAGATACACACCAAAGGAAAAGAAGATAAATTCTTTTGCTAAACATTTGATTCATAAACAAAATATGAATATTTTGACATTATGAAGTAGGAAATTACTACTTCAAATCATCACTTTCCAAACTCCACATGAGAACAATCACTAAGGGATTTTCCTGTTGTTTGTCTCCTGAAACAAATGGGTGATGCTCTAAGGTTCAATACTGTATCGAGAGAAAAACTGCAAATAATCTTGAAATCAATATTTTAGACAAATTAACCTTTACTGTAAAGGTTAATGCTATAAAAGGCTAATGTTATGAAACTGAAAGTAGTAAGCATTTGCTAAAATAAAGCTCTGGTTATTTAAATACAATGTATTCTACTTTACATATAAAACATGTACATCTTGATTTATATATCATTTGTTAATCAGCCTGTACATGCATGTTTATATGATTTAATAAGAAGTATACTTACTAGCATTTACAGGTACACTTAGTACAATCCCGAGAGATATCAAGGTAGGATATGTAATAGCAATCCCAAAATTTAATATAATATTGAATGCTGAAATAAGAAATAACATTTTCCATTTTAGAATTACTTTTATTTTGGTACTAAATCTGCTTTTTACAGCTTTAACCAGTTTATTTTAAGCAGCCACATTTAGATTGATATGAACCTTTGCAAATAAAATCAAAATACAGTAGTTCTGAAACTGCCATGCCAAGGAACACACCTGGATCCAGTGCCAGATATGCATTATAGAACTGCTCTTACTTATTTTATTCAAACCTGTACATTCTGTCTTCCCAAAATAAATTTACTTCAGAAGGCATTCAAACTGCATGTATTTATGGTGAAAATAGTTTTTAATTGACTAATTTGTCTATTTTACAATGTACCCATAATGTATACCTGCCTTGTTGCTGCACTTAATCCTTTTATATGGATAGAAGAATATCAGGAATTACACAATAGTTTTACATAAGCAGTATTTGTAAAGATTAAATAACGGGAGTTTCATTTCAGTCAAAAGGAAATACTCTACACAGCACTTGCTTGCATTTTAAAGGCCACTAACATAGATAATTTTAGAAGAGAATTACTTTCATCTTGCTTACCAATACATTATGAGAACCATTATGTTGTCATTGAAAGTTTTTGTGTAAGTCATTGCACCAGAGCGCATGGCTGATGGGAATCAAACTTTTCTAATAAGTGATGTTAGAATTAAATATTCCTAAAGTTGAAAGAAGTCTTCCTTGATAATACTAAGTCTAACCCCCTGCTCAATGTAAGAATTCACATTAAAAAATTCTGACAAATGTTAATTTCAGCCTGTCCAGTGGAGGGTAGCCAAGGAGGTGTTGTGATTATTTGTTCCACTTTCAAACCATTAGTTACTATTAGGAACTTTTTTCTAGCATTCTGTGAGAATCTTCTTTCTTGCAACTTGTCCATTCCATGTTCTACTACTACATTCGTGTCCGAAGCACATATCAACATGCTTCCGGGTTGAAAGGATTAGCTGGTGACACAACCGTTGCCCATGGGAAGCCAAGGGGGCTCCCTGCATGTCTATGTTATCTTCGCACCAAAGTGGTACCTGTTTATTTACTTGCATTCATATCCTTTCAAACTACTAGGTGGGCAGGAGCTAGGGCAAATTGATGGGAGATCATTCTATCACGTGGCTCAGCCTTGGATTTCAAACTGCTAAACTGTCAACCTCTTAATGGTCTTTTGACTCAGCATCCTAACAATATTAGCCACCATGGCTCTGTCCTACATTCTGGGAACAAATGAAAAGAGGCCCCGATTTTCTTCTATGTGACAACCTGTCAGGTGCCTGAAGAGTGCTAGTATATTTTCCTTCAAATATATTCAAGGCTAAGGTCTAATTCTATCTAATAATCTATTAAATGTCAGATAATCTATTAAATGCAAATTTAAAAGGATATAATAGTTACCAATACAACATATTGCATTCATTATTATATATTTTATTCACCAAATTACTATCGGTGTGACAGGTTAACCTTTCCTTTTAGATAAAACACTTGCAGCAGTCTTTAAAATGTCAGGTTTAGAACAACCATATTAGTCAAATTATGGAGTATAAAATTACAATGATTGTTAGATATGATGGCAATATACTAAACTTAGTTTTGGAAGCAATGTACTTCTCAATAGCTGCTAGGCAACATGAGAAACCATTGTTAATATTTTAGGAATAGTGGCATCATTTTAAACAAAAAAACCCTCAGATTGCATAAAATTAGATTAAATTAGATTTGATTAAGTAGGTTTTAAGCATGATCTGTAGTCTCTTTTTCTTAAGACTATCCAATATAATTGTTTACAAGGATGCCGTCATTATAATTAAGCAACATTTACTTACTCAATAATAGGACTGAAAATCCACAAATGCTTCCCCAAGGAATGGCATCAAAAGAACTCCAGTATTCAACTTTGGTAAAGTAAAGGATGACAGGAATACAGGTAACAAAAAGGATATTGAAAACAGCTAACACTGACAAAAATAAGGCAGCTTCTCCATATTTAGCACTACCCAGGAGAAGCTTAAATAAAACCTGTAACAGAAAGAGAAAAACAATTTGAAAAGCATAAACTATTGTGCAGGATCCGCTTTTCGGATCATTGAATGCCAGCCACTTGGTCCAAAAAGCAGACCCACTGCAACTTATTTCACTGAAATAAATCCCACTTCACCTTTAAAAAGAAATTCAGTGGCTCACCTAATGAACTTAATTGAACAACCTTTACCAATATTTACCTGTATACAGGGGTGAAATCTTACCTTCTTTACCAGTTCGTAAGTCCCTCTGCACATGCGCAAAGCCTGCACATGTGCAGAGGGTCAAAAACAGGTTACTTCCTGGTTAAAAACAGGAAGTAATGACATTCGGGTGAGTGGGCGGAGCCTCATGCTGTCACTGCTACCGGTTTGCCCGAACTGATGTGAACCAGTAGCATTTCACCACTGCCTGTATACCCCCTTGCTAATGATAGGCCCACGTGGCAAATACTAATCATTGCAGTCACAGATTTTTTTTCACATAATAGGGGTATATTATGGATCTCTATATAAGGGTGGAGCTTAAATGCTTGTATGACAAAGAAAAACTTGCTGGCACTGGCATTTGTAGTTCACTGTGTTACACAAATAGCAGAGGACCAAACTCTTGGTTTCTTGGTGTTTGCTGAGCTTGATTTTTCTATTGCTTGATATTTCTATTGGTTATTATATTGATGATGTTACCTGGCCTGGTAATGAAATGTCTGCAAGGAAACAACCAAGCTCAACAGATACCAAGAACTACACAGATACACATACCGATACAACATAACATAGAGAAAATAAAGTATTATGGACCCTGCAGCAATGTTAGCACTATAACTTCCTGTTTCTTTATATAGAACTTTAAACAGAGAGTATCAAAGTGGCTCTGACTAACTGCAGGTGAAGACCCTGCTTTGAACATTTTCCAGATCACCAATGTCAGTCAGTGACTGGCATCTGCAGGCTTTTGATGTGTCCAATGATGAAAGCAGTACTGTACTGCAAGCTCTGCAGTGTATATGTGTATGTACTTGTTCACAACGTCATGATGAAAAGAGGGCTTATGCCCTGATTTTTGCATTGTTGCTTGTGCCACTCTGCCTTTTGTTCCCCTGCCTTCCCCATCAACAACACAGTCATTAGTGTAATTCCTATGTTGCATATCCAGTGAAATATATGCTAAATAAAAAATCAGTGTAATGTTCATAATGTTCAGTACTTAAAAATTTACTGTATGTCTTTTTCTATTAATTAGACATGTCATTGCTATTTATTTATCTGTTTATTTATTTGGACTTATATGCTACTTCAGTCTATTCTTACTCCTATTCATACATGCACATAAAACACAAAACTAAATTCTTGCTGAAATGATTCTTATCCTAATAACATCCTTTGGTCACTCTGTTTCTGTTTTCTTTCCAGCTCTTGACTGCAGAATGACTGCAAATTGTTACAAGGAACAGTAGAGGTTCATGGTTTGTTTGGTTTTTTTCTTCTTTGGGTTGGATTAATGTGCTAACAAAATGCCATTGCATAGAACGAGTTGCTGCTCCCGTGTACTTCTCAGATAATATATTTCAGAATATATTTAAAAAAGCTATAACAAGTTTCATTTATAGAATATTAATGTAAAACCTGACTTCTATTTTTACATACACTCACATACAAGAACCAGTTTTGTATGGTCAATTAATATGGACTTTTTTATTTGTATTTTGTTTCCTTTTAAAAAGGGGGGGGAAAGATTTCAGCCTTTTAACGTTACTTTTTAAATCTTTTGATTATCTCGCCAGTATTCTGATTTATCACAAACACATGTCATAGAACTACAGATATATAAAGGTAAAGGTAAAGCTGTCTGAAGACGTCTCTGTGGTCATGTGGCCGGCATGACTAAACGCCAAAGGCGCACGGAACACTGTTACCTTCCCACCAAAGATGGTCCCTATTCTTCTACTTGCATTTTTTACATACTTTCGAACTGCTAGGTTGGCAGAAGCTGGGACAAGTAAAGGGGAGCTCACCCCATTATGCAGCACTAGGGATTCGAACTGCTGAACTGCCAACCTTTCGATCGACAAGCTCAGTGTCTTAGTCACTGAGCCACCATGTCCCTTAACAGATAAATAGATTCAGACAAATCTGAATGCTGGCCAGGCATGTGCTTGAAGTCTTTATATTTGAGTTACCTAATGAGTACTATATGCACAACCTGTTTTGTGTCACTAAATGAAGGTAGGCAATGGAGAAGAACATTGAGAAGAAATCATGCCTTTCAACGGAAGAAAAGGATTTTAGAGAACATATTTAGATCACCAGTTGGTGGCAGACACTTCCATTGCAGGGTCTGATGTGTAACTGAACTCTTATTAAACAGTCCTTGGCACACAGAAAACAAAATCTATATTAGTACTAAAATCAGCTTTACTGGGCTTTGGGTTCCTGATAATGTTCACTGAATTCTCAGGAAAGAATGTTATATTATCTAAACCATAAATTACTAGATTCCAAATATTTATTATTTCCTCAACTTTTATATCTTACATATACATTGAAATCTCTTATTCTTAATAGAGTTGCTTTTTGGTTTATAAACAAATATACCCTAGGTGATCAGTGCATATTATATATTAATATAATGTGTAACCCACCCAATCCTGTATCACAAGGCCATTGAGTAGAATGACTTTCATTCTAAATTTTTGCTTTAATTTTTTTTTATGCTAAGAAATTCATGAAAGCACGATTGCAAAATGTGTCCAAATGATATAGATTATAATCTCCAAAATTTCCAACTAAGCATTTCTTATGAACATCAATGTCCATTTGTTAATGGTAGAGTCATTATATACCCAGACTGAAGACTAAGAAGAGATGCTGGAATACTCCTTTGGTATAAAGCAATGGTGTTCTCTCTTCCTTCCCCTTCCTTCAAAATTTATCCAATCTAACTTTCTCCTTGTATAAAAGCACAGTTGTGCAAATCACACATGCTTTTCAAATAATACCAACATCACATAATTTTTTGATTAATTTCGAACTTTTTGTCATAGTGGATGAATGGGGAACAGAAATTATCCATCCCTTATGATCTATTGTCCTTTTCCTGATCCCAAAGTGAAAACATTTTCATTTTGATGAAAAAATCTCTACTAATCAGTAGATAAGATAATCTCCTTCTTTCATGCACTCACTTTCCTTCTTCATATTAGCAACAGAAGTGGATTTATCTAATCCTATTATTATGTATTGTGTTATAAACCAGCATCTTATAAACAGATTTCACTAACCAACTTCTAAGCTCTTTTCTGAGTTGTAGAAGTGGAAGTAATGCAGAATTTGGTCCACCAGCAGCTCCAGGATCTCTTCCTTTACACAGTTTTTTGTTGTTTTTTTTACATACAGTCAGTGTGAACAATTTTTCTTTAAATAAGTCCCATAGATTGAGTAGTGTTGAGCATCAGGGTTTAGTGACTGTGGTATAGATAACAGATTTCCTGAAGTTTTGCCAACAACTATGGCTGGCATTTTCAAAGGCAAGGTAGTCTACAAAGTCAGCCAGTCTACATTGCTGGCGAAATATCAAGAAATCTGTTGTTTAGAAACAGCCAGTACATCCTGAAGCCCAATACTATCCAACAGATACCAGCTGTGAAAGCCTACACTAGTTCCCATAGGTCATAGGAATAACAACCTGATTCAACTACCTCTAGTCTATGTGAAATTTTAGTTCTGTAGAAGCTCTTTGAAAACATGACTCTTTAGAGGATGAACTGAACTGAAAATAGAACTTGGACACATTTGGTCATGCAATGTTTGGCTGTATACCCAAAATTCAAACCCGTAGATTAATGAACCTTAAGACTACTACTATACTTACCTTATAAAGAGCTGACGTTGACGCAGATCCCACAACAAGTGCTATTCCAATAACTGAATGACTGTGGAATCCATCTGCGTAAGTCATCATAACTATCCCTGCAATAGCAAGTATAGCAGCGACAATCTGTTTTGGATACACAGAAGCAAAATGTTAATGGGCTCTAAAGTCCCCCCTAGCCTAGCCCCTGGTAACACAGAAGGCACCTTTAAACTGTGTTTTTTCCTAAGACTTTAGGCCACACTAAGAAATTTTTTCATAAGCCTAACTCAGATGAGTACATTCTAGATACATCTTACGTCCTTTGGAGAGTAACCAAAGGCTACTAAAGACAAAAAACAAAATTAGCCGGAGTTCCATTTTATAGTTATATATCAACATACTATTACTGAGATATTAGTTTGTGAACAGTTGTGTATATTATCAGATTTATATGTTTGAGGCACTGAGCCCTCAGAAAGGGTGCCTGGAGTAGGATTGTTAGAAAAAGTAATACAAAACAATACATTGAATATGCTGATTTCACTGAAATGTAGTGATTTTTCATTTCCTCTAAGGTTATAAACATTTATCTCTTCATGTCATATCTCACCCCTTATCTATAGACAAATCAATAAAGTACCATCTTTTCATAAAGAATTGCCAGAAATAATAACATATCTTGTTTTAACCTTGATCAAATAAGCCAACTTTATATTCCTTCTTTTTACTTCTAATAGATACAGTCTACAGTTCGTTCAAATAGAATGTAGGATTTGATTTCTCATCATTTCTTCTTTGTCCAATTGTACAGAATTCTTCAAGGGCTTAACAAGACCCTCTTGTAAATCCAATAGGAAAATATCCAGGTAAATATCTTGGTTTGTCATTTGTTTTAAATTTTAAAAAGTCAGCCAGTTTCTTTTTAGATTGAGCAAAATATAGTCTCTCTTAGCCTGTCATTTGTAAATCCAATACTATATTTATCTTGTCAGATAAAATTTGTTCTACACTTGTCATTTTGCCTATAATAATTTCTGGATAGCTATAGAAGCACACATTACAGATATTGTTGCCAATTTCTGACTGCATTTTTCAAAGATCTCCTTTAGAATTTTCATTGTTATAATGTTTTGCAACATTTTACAATTTTGAAAGTTTTCCTCTGCCTAAAACATTAGTCTCCACTAGTGTTCAGTTTTTAAAATCATGGAATTGCTAACAATTGCTTTGCTGTGTCTTGTAAAAATGAAAACGGAATCTCTTTCCCATCAGAAGTTGTTTGTTCTTTATAATTAATTCCAAATTTACTGTAAAAGTTTAAATATTCCAATTTTTGTCCATTTATAATTTTCTAGAGTCAAATTCTTATTTAACTTTTTGCTATTTATTTCAGATTCTTTAAATTCTTTAATTTATGATTAAAATTTCTTTTATTCAGGATTAAAGGCAGATTCACTCAGCATTTTCAAACTTGTAATTCTGAAGGTGTCTAATAGCTTAGAGATAGTTAATGAGCAATTTTAAAAAGCCATTAAAAAGTGAGGCTTTGTGAACTTATGTCCTTGAAACTTCTTTGCTGTGTTTGCAAGCAAATTGGCTAATCCCATTGTCTCTCAGCTCCCAAACCCATGGAAAAACCTCTATCTTGCAGTCTCTTTGTGCAGTATCGATCACAGTAGTACCACAAAAAAGCTGCAACATTTGTAACTATTTGACTTTGAACCCCCTAATGTAAGTAATACCTGGCATGAAAAATCCTTATATTTCCTGAGTTTACAAATTAAATAACATTACTTTTTTAAAAGGCAAATAGTTTTCCTTTTGGCCTTCTAAGTCAAACAGATCAAGTAAATGTGAACTCACTTTGTTCTTTATTATAAAAATATTTGTACAAATGTTATTTTAAATAGCTAGTGAGGCATTAAGGTCAGAAAGTTCTCTTTATCACTTTGTTTGCCTCACTTGAAGGAGCTTCCTCTCACTATTGCTGTAACTTGGCAGATAAAGAATTATAACTCTCAGAACAGCAATGTGCTATTCAACTGAAATATTTTTTTTTACATTCATACACCCTAAAGTCTGTGAGAGGACAAGTGAGGCAAATGTCAAAATGTGCAATGCAATACTGTGATGTGACTCTGCTGTTATGTACTTGCATGCAACATAGCAAGACAAATATAAAAGGGCATAGCTTAAGTTGTGATGTCACAATGCTTGTTCTGTAATTTTGCCATCATCATAATTAAGAATGAATGTCAATCCACTGAAGCAGCACCCAGATTTTTAAAAAAAATGGAGAAACAATTGGAAACCAATCATGAAAATGCATAAAACTTAAAAGAAAGGACAGTTCATGACATTTGGTTAATTAGCCAGAGGCCTCATGATCATAGAAAATGATATTATTTTATTATTTTCAACAGTGATAGGCTTTTAATAATAGTAAGTCCTTAGGCTGACTCACAGTATAAGCTCAAACAAAATGTTAAGAGAAAAAAAATATGAAGTAGCAAATTACTTGAAAAGAAAACTAAGATACAGTCAAACCGATTTAACAGGCTAATTTGAAAGACATGATAAAAATTAGATAGAGTAGAGGGCTAAAAAAATGTCTCTTGAGGGAGGCACTCTGATTAGGATCTTGAGGTTATATATTTCTACTTATTATTGTTATTTAAAACTCTGAAGAGCTTTAAAGTTCAAAACCTGTTTGCATTCGTTCAGAAGAAGCCAGCAGAGTCAAGGGAACAATATTTCATATTTATATTATTCAGTTTCATTGAGCTATTTCAAAGATACAAATTCAACATGTTCTCTGAAAGTGCAATTAATATTTATCAAGTATTGCACTAAGCCTTCTGTAGATAAACTCTTTTAATATGTCAGATCGTTATCAGGACTGAAATTCATAAGACCTCCAACCTGATCTTGTTTATTTAAACAAGCTCTTAAAACCTGGCTCTTCCTCCAGGCCTTGGGATAGAGTAGGGGTGATGGATTTGTTACCATTTATGTTATTTTTGTTGTTTGTATTGTATTGTTTATATACTTCTTTCCTTCCGTCACAAGCTGAAGACGTGGCTCTTCCGCCAATTAAACTGATCCGTTTGGGGGGTACACTGGTATAATTTTAAATCATTTTTTAATTGGGTTACTGATTTTAATTTGGTATTGTATTGTGATTTGTATTGAAGTTGTCATTTTGTAAGCCGCCTTGAGTCCCTAGGGAGAAAGGCGGCATATAAATCGCAATAAATAAATAAATAAATAAATAAATAAATAAATAAATAAATAAATACTGTATACTGCTCACAGTTGTGATGCATCATCCAAAATTATTTCAGAAATAATGAATCACCTGTTTCAAGATGGAAAATTAACTAACTTTTAAAGAAAGCCAAACCTAAGATACAATGATAATATAGCAGTAATTTTAAGAACAATCTTGAAGTATAACATGAAACCAGTTTTTAATGCATAACATTAAATAATTTATACCACTGTGCTATAAATGTTTAAGCAAAAGTTGTATACTGGTACCAATGCTGGTGATGATAGAAAAAAGATTAACCACTTACCCTCACTCCCATGAATCTGTCCCTGAGAACAATCCACGAAAGCAAGAACACAAAAGCTTTGTTGCAGCAGAACAATACGGAAACATCCGTAGTGTTTATTTTTTTTATTGCATGTAAGTACAGGTAGTTCGTGAGTGTCCAAAGAACACCAAAAGGTGCTGCCCTGGTAAAAAATGCCTTCAGTGTCAAGCCGTTGTCTCCAAAAAACCGACAACACTCCCTAAAAGAAGAAAAAAACAGTAGATCCTTAGGAAGTACATCAAGAATCTGTAGCATCTTAAAGATTGACCTATTCTGTATCAACTGCATTGTTAACCATCAATGGATCAGATCAAAGACTGAGTGAAAAACCTTTAGTCATGGAAACTTTGTTGGATGTTTTTACTGTTTTAATTGTTTTAGAATTTTAGAATTGTAAACCACCCAGAGTCACTTGGTTGAGTTGGGCAGCTATAGAGATTGAATGAATTAATAATAAGTAAAAACTGACCGGCTAACTTTGGAACAATTACTCTCTCTCAGACCAACCTATTGAACAGGGTGTCTTTGCAGAGTAAAATAGGAGGAGAGAACACTACATACATATTCCCTTCAGCCCCTGAATCAGATTATAAATCTAATCCTAATGCAGCTTTATAGCTAAAATCTAAGGCCTAAATCAAAACCTAAAAGCTAGTTATAAATCTAATAAATCAGTCAATTTTAAAAGAAACTTGTATTTTTAACTATAAGCATTTTTGGTACCAGAACAAATTTTGAACAATTAAATTTCTGATTACTCCCAAACAAAAGGGAAAGCAGGTGACAGTGTCCTTCGAAATCACCATCCTTTCCTACATGTGCACACATGTGCATGTGTGTGCATAAACACAACACACACACCACTTAATCCTCTATCTTCACTTGCCTGTACCCACAAAACATTCAGAGTCCAAAGAAAACAATCAGTATGAACAATGCCTTTTATTTCAAATCTTGTTGTTTTTGTCCAGCCTATACATGGCATGTATTAACTCAAAAGTAAAGGCCAACATGTCGGAGCCTAGAAAAGATTTAAGAAGATAATGAAATTGTCTTATTTTTTTTTTAAAAAACTACAAATATAATTTAAGATTTTTCAAAAAGCATTCATTTGAGTGCTTCATTGGTTTTTAGGTAAAAATACCAAAAGCAATTCAGAAGTCTCTAGGGGCGATCATCTTATCCCATTCGATAATAAATATATGCCCATAGAGCAAATTTCATTAAGAAATAATTGGAGTGAGATACAATAATACAATAGTTTGTGGAAATAAACAAGCCTTATATTGGCCGATACAAAGTTAATTCTTAATTTTTAAATTCTTTCTATTAAAGAGGGGAAAGAAAGATCCATTGATGTATCCTAAAGTAAAAGAGAGAGAGAGACAAGGCAAGTCTATGAACATAAAGCATGTTTGTATTGTCCCATTTTGAAATTGAGATCAAATCAATCAGCCCAAGCCTGTTCAATTTTGTTTTTGTAGTAATCAAGAGTTTGTGCTAATGAATACAGGGAAGGGAAGAAACCGGTCGCAGTTGTAAAAGGATGCATGTGGATGGATATACAAGATCTGGTGGCATGGGCTCTGATTGATTCTGGTGGCCAGGAAGGCCCTCTATCCACCCTTTTCCATCCTCTCTGCAACTTCTGGGAAGAGCCATTATGCATGCAGAAACCACCCATTTTACTGAGAGAATTTCTCTCTTTATTGTCCCTTGTCAGGAAGGTGTGAGGGGAATCCTGTTTCCTGCAGTTGCCAGGCCTGCTTAGGGCCGGGGTACTTACGAGACCGCCTTCTGCCACCAATAGCCTCCCACCGGCCAGTACGCTCGTACAGAGTGGGCCTCCTCAGGGTGCCGTCCGCCAGACAATGTCGGCTGGCGACCCCCAGGGGGAGAGCCTTCTCTGTGACGGCGCCCACCCTCTGGAACAACCTTCCCCCAGAGCTACGTATAATAACAGACCTCCGGATTTTTCGTCGGGCCCTGAAAACCTATTTATTTCAACTAGCTGGGCTGGCTTGAGCTAAATTTTAAATTGATTTTAAAATGGGTTGTTTTAATTCACAGCCAAAATATTTAATTATTTTAATACTGTTTTTTAAATTTTGTATGCTCTGTTTTTACTTAGGCTGTGCCTGAGTCCTATTTGGAGAAGGGCGGTATAGAAATTTAATTAATTAATTAATTAATTAATTAATTAATTAATTAATTAATTAATTAATAAATAAATAAATAAATAAATAAATAAATAAATAAGTGGCACAGTGGTTGGAGTGCAGTATTGGAGGCTACTTCTGCTGCCTGCTGGCTGCCTGCAATTTGGCAGTTCAAATCTTACCAGGCTTAAGATTGACTCAGCCTTCCATCCTTCTGAAGTGGGTAAAATGAGGACCCAAATTGTTGGGGGCAATATGCTGACTCTGTAAACCGCTTAGAGAGGGCTGTAAAGCACTGTGAAGCAGTATATAACTCTAAGTGCTATTGCTATTGCTAAAGTATAGATCACTTTTCCAGAATGACTAACGATCTTATGGAAATTCTCAGTCATTGAGGTCGTGGAATTACATTTCATTATATACATGTAATCCTCATGTAGAGACTGCCCTTGTTTAGTGATTGTTCACAGTTACAACAAAGAAACTTTGCAACCAGTCCTCAAATTTATGAACTTCGCAGCTCTATAAAGCAAAGGAAAACTGAGTTTCAGTTTCACTTAATGACCACTTCACTTAATGTCCAAGTTGCTGATCTGCATTGTTGTCCCTTAAATAAGGGCTACCTGTATAACAAAATCAGACTCCTACAGAAAAACTGAAGAGAAAAAAATAAAAAGGAAAAAGAATGAGCAATTGCTTTCTGGAGAAATTATTTCAGTGACGATCTCACTGAATCTCTGGATCTCACAGGATGTCATATTAGCACAAATCTAAGCCCTTAAGATAATGAAGTAACAAAATCTGTACTGCAATTACCTTCACTGATCCCAGCTTGCTATCCAGATTCACTGGTTACGGGCTGGCTCTCAATGGTCTAACCTTTGTTATGGCTTGATTTGCAGCAGCTTCCTAAAAAGGGAAACCAACGCCCAAAAAATACAGACAGATACCTCTTGTAAAGGCCCACCTCTCCTGCTTCGTTTTTTGACATTTCTTTGCTCGTTACTGGGATAGTCATAGTCAGCACCTTCTCCGTAAATCAGCTACTTCTTTCTAAATATTTCAGTGTGTAAATCTTTTGAAAGGGAACTTCACCACATTCATTACAGCAGTACGTTTTCCCTACAGAACGTGATAATGCAATTTACAACATGAGTACCTTCAAATAAAAAGGCCAATTGGTTGATATTTGTTGCTCTCTTTTTCCATTTTATGATATTAATTATTGAATCAGTCTGTGAAAAACAGAACCACAAATCCCATCTTAGAACACATCAGCAGCATAAAACCCCTCAAAATTAACAAAGCATCCAATTAGTTTAACTGCATGTTATGCTGCCTTTTTAAAAATATCATCTTAAGTGAATGCAAATGAATAAAACAAACGTTAAGGGCCTACCAGATGACCATGCTTATAAATGAGAAATATATTTTAATATACTACTGAAATGGAGGCATTATTTTAATCAATAATTATACTCATTCAGCACTTATTTGTCCTATCTGCTTTTAAAGTTATCTAAACAGCAAACCATAGAATATATTTGTAATATAGATGGACAAATTCCTCCTCAAGAGATCATGATATTGACAGACAACAAACATATCTAATATACTTTCTTCCTCCTCATGTCTCCACAACAACCCTGTGAGGATTGGGCTGAGAGAGAGACTGACCCAGCTGGCTTTTATGGCTAAGGTGGGACTAGAATTCACGGTCTCTCTCTTTCTAAACACTAGCCACCAAACTGACTCTCTTATCATTGCCATTTACAAGGCCAATCATCAGTGATGATATACGTTTGCCTATTGCAGTTGCAAAATAAATGATAAATGGCAGTAGTAAAATTTCCCAAAATATTTAAGTGTATACCAAAGCAGATAAAATATGGAAAGCTAGCTGTATTCTGGTGGACCTAGGATTTGCAAGCAAGGAAATGCCTTTACAGATGTTGACAAAATATGGTAACATTTTTAATCATTGCTCATGTTGGATAAGGTAGCTGGAAGCTGAAGATCAATAAAGTTGAAGGGACATAAATTGCTTGGTACTATATGTTCAGGTAAAAGTTATGTTGTGTTATATGTACATTTTTGGATTTGAATGCTGCAAGGTATTTTTCCTTGGAGCCATGCAAAAAGCCATCCTTTCAGACACATTAATTCAAATTCACATTTCTTTTTAATATTTTACTTCCTTTCCTTGGGCTATCTCTTCCGTAGTGGCTTGAATCATTAGACAAAAAAGCAATTGAATAAGCACAAAAACAGAAATCATTGTTTCAAAACCTTCAAAATGTTGATATTTTGAGAGAGCACTCCTACTTTGCCTATATAAGCCTGATTAGTTTTCGAAGAAACCTTTGACAGCCATGCAAGTTGTTGATGACTTCTGGTTAGCCATGAACCACAGTTTGAGAACTCCTGCATTAACCCCTAAAACTAAAAAGCTTGGAATGAAGCAAGAACAGATACAGCAGAGCCACTGGTTTTTAACTTCAATCTCCTGTTTTCTAAAATCTATCAATCTTAATAGGACTCCAATACAAATGCTATAAGAATCAGTTCCACAAGTCTTCCAGTGAAACATTGTTTTCCAGAGCAATATTTCTCAATGCATGTGATGAGAATAAAACACATAAGCAACTTTGAGGGGAGGATTGCTCCTGAATACAAGTGTCCAATGTTTAGATAGAGCCCAGAAACAAACTACTCATCTACTGATTCTTTCTGATCAACCCAAGATGCTATGAACTCTTTACTGTAGTCATGTAAGCCTTACCATAAAGAGTTTGTATTAATTTGAAAATTGAATCTTGTCATATTGTGGAAGGGATATTTTTCCACCATTATGTGCATATTATATACTATATAATGGTTAATTCCACCACCACTGCTTTTCTCTTCATTTGACCTTGCTCACTTTAATTCAATATAAAACATCTGCCGATGGATGTGAACAGCCTTCCAAGCACCTTGTAAATTATCTAGACAAGTCTCCCATTTATAGATGGAAACTTGCAGCAGCACCAATAAAAGGACATTCTTGTTGCCACATTTTCATTTTATAGAGTATATCAACTCTATAGATGAACTATAAAGAGTATATAATATATCTAAACTGCATCTAATCCATGTCTAGTTTAAACACAAAGACATGTAAAAAAGTCAAAACAGGTCTTCAAGAGGAAAATTATAACAGGGCACCCACCACTGTGAATTAAATAACATATTTCTACTAAAACTAAATGACTATTGGTATCTTTAAATGGGCGTTAGGTAAAATAAATTCATGTGACTCTTCTGATGTCTATGGCAATTAGAGAGAAAATATTTTATCTTATAGCTTATCTTTTGCCATAAAGAAAAAGATAGTTAAATTATTTATTATTGTTTTAATTAGGTCAATTACAAATGAACAACAGCAACAAAAAGTATAAGAGATGTTCACTTAGAGAGATTTCACTTATTTTTAATAGAAATGTGTAATATAAATTCTGCCTTCCTCTGCAATGTCCTTATCTTCCATCTATTGCCTTCCAATATTTGGGCCAATAATTTACAGCAGGGGTGAAATGCTCCCGGTTTGGACCGGATCCGGCAGCGATGGAGGTGGGTGGTTCGGAGAACCGGTAGCAAAAATCTCTGCCCCCCACCCCATGCCCAGCTGAGCTGCACAATCATCAGAAGCTTTTTTTTTTACTTTTAAAAGCATTTTTTCTACAACCTCTTCGGCCGAAAAAATGCTTTTAAAAGTAAAAAAAAAGCCTCTGATGATCGCGCAGCTTAGCTGGGATTGTCAAAGGCTTTTAAAAGCATTTTTTTCTACAACCTCTTCAGAGCGAAGAGGTTGTAAAAAAATGCTTTCAAAAGGCTCTGAGGATCCCAGCTGAGTTGCCTGATTGACAGAGGCTTTTTTTCTTTTAAATGCCTCTGCTGACCAGGCAACTCAGCTTGGATCGTCAGAGGCATTTAAAAGAAAAAAAGCCTCTGCCGATCAGGCAACTCAGTTGGGATCGTCAAAGCCTTTTGAAAGCATTATTTTTACCACCTCTTCACTGAAGAGGTGGTAGAAAAAATGGTTTTAAAAGTAAAAAAAAAAAAATGGCCATGCCCACCCAGTCACATTACCACCACCCCTCCACCAAGCCATGCCCACAGAACCGGTAGTAACAAATTTTAGATTTCACCGCTGATTTACAGCCCTTATTTTTTACCAAATAGCTTAATGAAACATCTAAGAAGGAAATAAGTGACAACACAGCAAAATATGACAACTCCCTCTTACCCGTATCTTTGTTGGGGAGATTGTTTTTCAGCTGATTTACAAACATGTCCAATGTAATACAAAGGAAAGAATAAAAAGTTCCAGTTTGTTGCAAACCACGTCAAAGTGAAGGGTGCATCAAATTTCTTAAAGGTCAGTTTTGCTAGCTGGGTTGAACCTGACCAGGAAGAGCAGACGCCAAGTACCACCACTACTCCCCAGAAGATTTTCTTAAGATGGACCATGGAGCATGTTTGGCAACATGGGCTCCCTCTTCCACCAGCTTCCATCCCAGCTTGTGTCTGAGCTTCTGCTGGTGTTGTGCAATCATGGGAGCGCTCATCCCCTGAGAAAAAGCAAAAGAAAGAAAGTGAATGTTAGATTCAATGATGTATATTCTGCACCCTTTTATTTTCAAAGCAGCAAGCCTGAAGTGGCATCACATGTGGATCTCAGCTTTAAATTCACAATTAAAGGAAAATTATTGAGTATCCTTATGCAATAGAATAATGCCAAGAGACTTTACTGAACTTTATGAACTCAGATTTTGTTTCCCTTTGTACAACTAAGTATTTATGGGCTCAAGCCCAATACCATGCTTCTTAAAAATCTATTATATTCCTAGTTACAGAAATGAGCAAGTTGCATACACACATTTTAAAAATATTTTACTCTGTGTCTACCTTTATGCCAAGTGTTAAATCAAATAATAAAAGTGTTTACAGTGCAGAAGTCATGTGACACACAATACCCCATGTATCACTTTACTATGAAAATGATCTTGAGCACGATCATTTTTCTGCTCTCACATTGGAAGGAATAAGGGACAATGGCAGCGAAAGCACACTATGCCATTTGAGGAAGCAACTGATGACTTCAAAATGTGCCTTTTCATTTGCAGTTATTTGCACCTAATTATACACTACAAAACAGCATAAACATACACTCGTATTACAATTATGGTATGGTATTTGCATTCTTTTACAGGGGAGTCAAACTTGCTTTGTCACAGCATCGTCACGTGATGTATCATGACTTTTTTCCCTCCGCTAAATCGGGCATGGGCATGGCCACCGCATGACGCATCTGGCCCTCAGGCCGCAAGTTTGACACCCCTATTTTAAGAGTCGTTGAGGCCACTTGGAAGTTTATCTGTGTCCTCAGTGTCACCTATATAGTGCACTGGAGTCTTCTTGGAATTGCTGAAATGACTGTTGTAGACTAGAGATAGATTATGTTGTATCCCTCTCTGTTGAGAGAGAGTTGTTCAGTTGTGACATAGATGGCCTCTTTGACCCCACTTTCAAACCAGCAGTCCTCTATGTCCAAAATGTGGATTTTGTTTTCTTTAAAAGAGTGGCCTTTGTCTCTTAAATGCAGATGGACTGCTGAATCTTGACCTGGTGGTCAAGATTCTCCTATGTTGTGCCATGTGTTTATGAAATGGTTGTTTTGTTTTGTTTCCCCAATGTACAGATCTGCTAGTGAGACATATGCAGATCTGCACATTGGAGAAACAAAGCAACCATTTCATAAAGATGAGTAATGTAAGCCTTGTTTACTTACATTGACTCAGAATTTTGTGCCTAGTATCTATTGAGCAGTGTATGGCCTAAGCAACAGATTTCATGATGTTTTACCAGCAACTATGAACCTTGGTTGCCTCTCTGTCATTGCCTTACCCCATTTCCTTGAACCTGTGCTATGCTGGACTCTGGACTGAACATTGTAGCTCCTGTTCTATCCTTGCCCTGTTCTGTGCCTGCCCATCCTGTTCTCCATCTTTCCCAAAACGGGTGTGCATCTGCATTGCTGGCTCTTTGCCTGTTTATTTAATTGGCTGAAATACTCCTCCTCAGTTAACAGTTTATGATGTGTTTGTTCAGCCTTGAACAGGACATTTTTAACATTAGGTAGTCAAATGCTCCAAACAATTATAAGTGAATGCAATATGGCATGAAGTACTAATAATATCACAAACAGTGGCTTAAATATACCCAATAAAATGCTGTGGGGGAGAGTAATCTATAATGAACAGATTTATGGCTCAAAGAGACTAAGACTGAACACAATTACAAAAAATGAGTTTGCACAAAATGCATTAGACATCATACACAAAGATACAATTACTAGAAATAAGCAGGTGCAGCCCTAGAAAATAAAGCACAAACTCCAGACAGTGCATCCTAACTTATTGATCCATCTTACTCTTGGATTCAGTGTTTATTGAATACTTCTCACTGATTTCCAATTTTTAATCAGAAGCTTAGGAGCAATTCATCCTAATTCCTTTATCTACATCACTAGCACTAGCACTTAGACTTACATATTGCCCCATAGTTCTTTAAAGCACTTTCTGGATGTGTGTGTGTGTTACAATATTTTGTGTATTACCCCCAATCTGGGTTCTCATTTTAATGACCTTGGAAGGATGGAATGCTGAGTCAACCTTGAGCTGATCAGGATCGAACTCCAGACTGCGGGCAGGGTTTGCCTACAATACTGCATTCTAACCACTGCATCACTGGGGCTTCTTGATCTTACTTCCGAGCTCCCTCTATCAGCTTTATTCTGTAGACAAACTAACATAGCTCTATTTATCATGAATCAAGGCAGACCTAGAGAATCGCCTTGTGCTTTTCAGTGTTGGCTTTATCTCAGTTGACTTCTGAAGGTCTCTGGGACCTCAATCCAGGACTTTTCTCCCCTCCATTCTTCCTTTTCCACCAATCTTTGATCTCCCCCAATCTCTTTTTTAAAAATGGTAAGGCTAGGAAAACTTTTGATTCTGTTCAGGAAAAGCCTCTTATTTCCCCTTTCCTTTCTTGAGGCTAGGATTCCAAAATGACTTAAGTTTTGTTCTCACTTGTTAAAAGGGATATGCTGAAAATCATTCTATAGTATATGTGTTATCAGGCTTAGTTTACTTAGAAAGCAAAGCTGTTGCTCCCTATCTGGCTTTCTGGAAGTGTGAGAGCAGCTAGTTTCAGTTGCCTGGGTGCAGAGGATTGTGGAGTTAATGGGCATACCAGTGTTACACTTATGGTTACTTTATGGAGCCATCAATGAGGCAATAAGCTTGGGAAAAAAGTTGCAGATTCACCTATAACTTAGAAATAGGTAGCAATAAAAGCTTGCCTGGTGACCAAATATCTTCCATTCATGCTATACTTTTATTTAAATCTCTATTTTTAAAAGTAATTATTTCTTATAACATTAGTATCCTTAAATTGCTCTAACAAAGAACTTTTCCTTCTGTTCAATCATGTCTGATTCTTGGAGACTGCCTGAACAAGTCCCTGCACTTTTTTTCTTGGCAAGGTTTTTTTAGAAGTGGTTTGCCATTGTCTTCTCCTTACAGCTGAGACAGAGTAATAGCAGCAGGTAACAGCACAACAGAGTTGGAAGAGACCTGGGAGGTCTTCTAGTCCAACCCCCTGTTCAAGCAGGAAACCCTGTACCATTTCAGACAAATGGTTGTCCAATCTCTTTTTAAAAACCTGCAGTGTTGAAGCACTGAAGGCAAATAGTTCTACTGATTAATTGTTCTGTCAGGAAGTTTCCCCTTAATTCCAGTTGCTTCTAGTCCTTCTTTTCATTAAACTAGACATACCCAATTCCTGCAACCGTCCTCCATGTGTTTTAGCTTCCAGTGCCCTAATCAGCTTTGTTGCTCTTCTCTGCACTAATTCTAGACTAGAGTGAATGGACCGGGTTGGTTTTGTGCCTAATACAGGACTAGAACTCAGTCACAGGTTTCTAGCCTGATGCCTTAACCACTATACCAAATTGGCTCTCAACAAAATATATATCTCAACAAAAATATCCCAACAATGATATTGCCCTATTATACATCACAGAACTTTTCTGAGGGCAAATTCACTAGCATTTTATATATGCAAGCTTGATGAAAATTTCAGAGAAACAAATTTTGTTGTTAAGTGGATAGTTAAGATGCTAAGCTTGTCGATCAGAAGGTCGGCAGTTCAGTGGTTCGAATCTCTAGCGCCAAAGGGGTGAGCTCCCATTACATGTCCCAGCTTCTGCCAACCTAGCAGTTCGAAAGCACATAAAAATGCAAGTAGAAAACTAGGGACCACTTTGGTTGGAAGGTAACAGTGCTCCATGCGCCTTTGCCGTTGAGTCATGCTAGCCACATGACCACGGAGATGTCTTCGGATAGCCGTGATTCTTCGGCTTAGAAACAGAGATGAGCACCACCTCTAGAACTGGAAAACGACTAGCACACATGTGCGGGGGGGGGGACCTTTACCTTTAAAGCTACTTATTCAAATTACCCATTAATTTACAAGTGAAAAATGCTTTTCAAAGACCCTAAAGAATAGATAGCCCAAAAAAGTTTGGTAATCAGCAGAATCTACTTCCTTAAAAGAAACCGGATTAAAAGAAATTATACTTGACACTGATAATATTTATTTTCTACAACACATATTAATTCTTTGTATACTAAAATATAAGTCATTTTCATTTTACAATGAAATTAAAATTACAAACAATTAAGAATAAAAGATATTGAAGAACAGGAGTATTGAATCACGCACCTAAAAATGTTCATTTTCATTTTGTATTAAAAAAAAAAAACCTTGGAGGTCTGTGTCTTAAAGTAGGGATATAAATGTATGTGAAATTAAATTACAGTCCTTTCGGTAGAGGGATGTTATAGTGCCCATCATTCATGTCCTTGTTACTTTGAGGCTGGGTTACTGCAATATGTTAGGGCTGTCTTTAATGTCTATCTGGAAACTTCAGATGGTGCAGAATATGATAGCCTGCATACTGACAAATAAGGGCTGTTTCAGCAGCTTTGCTCCTGTATATTGCTGGTATTGGACAGGATGCCCCATGAACTAAATCAAAGGGTTGACTTATAAAGCCCTACATGACTTGCATCTATGTTTCCTATGGGGCCATATTCTCCAAATCTAGTCAGCCCATCCTGTGAGATTAACCTGGAAACGATATTTTGGGCTCTCTCTGTTCAGGAATTTAGAAAGGTAAGGTTGGAAGGCACATCACCCTTATGGATATATTCTATGGGAGGTCCAGGAGTCCCTTATACTTCTGGAGATTCAAGTGATGAAGACTGTTATTTTATTCTGCCTTCATGGCTTGACTTGCTGTTTTCCTGTTAAATTTTAACATTTTAAATGTTTTAATAATGAATACCTGGTTTATGTTTTAGGATGGTTATCATTTTTGGGTGAGCTACCTGGAGTCTAAAGAGTCAAGTGCAATTCCAGAGTTGTCACAGTTGGCCAGCTTAAAAATTTGAAACATAAATGTAAATGTATAAATATTATATATAAAATAAATAAATTACAATGT